TTCATTTTGATGAACAGAAGAGTCACGAATGCTCATCAAAGAACAGAGCAAGGCGAGCATTTGTGCTTTTAAAACTTAAACTGTGTTATTTCTTTTTTAAATGACCGATCGTTTTGCTAGATAAGACCCTTATTCATCGTCTGGTGTCGTTTAAAGCCCTTTGAACAGTTTGCGCTGAAACTCTCTTTTGGACCTTGAGCCGTTTGGTTCCCAATGAAGTCCATTATATGGAGAAAAATCCTGGAATGTTTTAATCAAAAACCTTCATTTCTTTTTCGACTGAAGAAAGAAAGACGTGGACATCTTGGATGACATGGGGGTGAGTAAATTATCAGCAAAAGTTGTTTTAAAAGTGAACTGCTCCTTTAAGGACTACTTTGTGAGTTTCATGTGTGAAAATGATTCTTCATGCTCCTCCCATCCATTCATCCACAATCTGAACCTTTATGAATCTTGACATTGTCATCCTGTAATATGGCCATGATTGGTTTCCTACATGGTTGTTTAAGAAATGAAAGCTACTCAATCCTTCAGTTAGGGTTAAAAGAACTGTTGCCAAACATGCTAGAAACATAATTGATCCAGTCCTAAACTCTTAAGTATTTGACTTTGAATCCAAACAGCAACGTTTTTGGGCCGGACAGTGTATCCTTTAGAACTAACCAATACTGTTGAAGCACAATGTTCGTGGGCTGGTTATGTAGCAACTGTTATGACAACTGTTCTCAAAACAGTGGAAATGCAGGCTGGTTCTGCGAGACGATTGCAGATGTCAGTAAAGGGGGACGTTTCAATTTGTCTTTCCTTTAGTGTTTCCTGTTTCTATGTGTGTCCAGATCTTGTATTTATGTCTGTCTACGGTCTCTAGCGTCAGTGCGGCAGATATTATCCATGACACTCCAGCCCTCCTCCATCTGTTTGCATATGTTCTGATGTGAATGCGTTATGATGTTCTCTTTTTCTAAGCAGGTTTGTTCACATGAGCCATTAAGAGCATCTTGATCCGCTCTCACACCCCTTAAACCTCTTTTCTAACCCAATGAGCATTGCTTTCCTTCTATGGCTGTGTATGAACGTGTGAAATGCTCTTCAGCATAACCATCACTTTAACTTTCCGTAACATGTAACCTCCACCTCTTTCCGTGACACTCTCTGTGCCCTTAACTGAAGGTGTGGGGGTCTGTATATAATGGTTATGGTGGTTACGATTACTTGAACTGAAATCCAAACCTCAGTTAAGGGACATGAGGTGAGCGTAGATGAAGAAGTGAGTCTTGGGCTTGGCGAATGGTACACTTCTTGTTTCACGAAGGCCACATACACACGGCAAAGCTTAGGGTTATGTCGGATGCATTGATCTAGTTAACATTCCTCATGCGTACAGAACTGCAACCACTGCAACGTTTTGAGTCACGCATCTGCAAACATGAAACGAGCAGTTTGTGAAAACAGTTGTAAATGTAGCTGTCATATCTTATAACCAAACTCTGTAGAGAACAGGAATTCAACTGCATCAGTATTATAAAATAAAAAAATATCAAATTTTGTTATTTACTAGTTACTATTTTTTTAATCTGTCTATAATTAGTTATTAGTTCATTTTGTTAATTGATAAATAACTTAAATGAATGTTTTTTCACTCATTTCATTTAAATAGAGATTCGACAGTATGAAGATTTCATATGACAGTTATCAGTATTATCAAGGTATTGTTAAAATGAGCTGGAAAGTGCTGATACCCAGAGCTGAAATCATTTCGCCACATTTTATATTGAAATACAACAAATAATAAATAAAATTAGCAGCACAATGTGCTTTTTTGTTCGCATAAACATTAAAATAGTAATATTGACAGCAACAACAGCCATATTTGAGGTGAACAAAATACGTGTAGCGTTTATCTACGACATGTTCAAATTAAATTAGACAAAATGATGAACTGCACATTTCAGCCTTTAAACCGTTCGTTAAGAAAAGGGAGTCAAAATGATTATAGGTATTTTATCTGCTCTGTATATAATTCTAGATACCTTGTTATATGAATTTAGATTGTACAATGCAGATTTTTTTCCATCAACTCGTTAAAATTGACATCCCTTTGCTTAAAGGGATAGTTCAGTTGGAAATTAATTTTTGGTATGTTTTAGCTTACCTCAAGGGCATCCAAGATGTAGGTGTCTTTGTTTCTGCAGTAGTTTCAATTTTGGTATTTTTAGGTCAAACCGTTCTTGTCTGTCAGTCATATAATGCAAGTCTATGGTCACCACCTCAAAGAGCATGCACAGAGAAGTCCAAATTAAACAAGATTTAATGACTCGTAAATGTAAGCACACATTGATGGCCTAAGACACGAAACGAGCGGTTTGTGTGAGAAAACGAACAGTATTTATATCGTTTTTACCACTTGTAACCACAGCCACATGGTGGTGACCATTCTTTAAGGTGGTGACCATAGACCTGCATTATATGACTGATAGACACAAACGGTTTGACCCAAAAATATCAAAATTGAAACTACTGTGGAAACAAAGACACCTACATCTTGGATGCCCTTGAGTCAAGTCAAATATATTTATATAACGCTTTTCACAATACAGATCAAAGCTGCTTCACAATATCAATCAAGTAAACTTAACAGTGTTTGTTTATTCATGGAAAAAAAAAGACAATCAAGTTTGGTAGAGAGCTAAGCTAAAACATACCAAATATTATTTCAAAGTGAACTATCCCTTTAAAAATGCAGCCCAATTTCCAGGAGCAGAATAAAAACTGCCCACTCTCTGACAGTAGGTGGCGCTTGTTGAACAGCAGAAATAGAGCGGTGTCTCTGTACACTTATACACTACTTTTTTTGGCAGTACACAGACATATAAGATGAAGACAGTCAGATGCATTCATGCATTTCATCCATTCTTATAATCACTCAGCGCTCGACTATAATGATTGTAATTGTTTGTAGAGGTTGTGAAACTTCACTGCCTTCCGCCATGTTTTCACACAAAATGAAACTTAAGCTGCATGCTGTTGCCTTACTTTAATGCCGGCCATAATTTACCCTGAGGTTTTCAAATCGCGGTAATCAAATGCGGTTTTAATGATAATTAAAATATGAAGTGGTAACGCTAACCGCCAGGGAAACCCGTAACCGTTTTTTCACCTATATTAACTATAGCTCTAGTGTGTATGTGGCCAAAGAGGGGTTTTTGAAACCTTTGTTGTGGATGTGTGTGTGTGATTAGTGAACGCCGGAGCCGAGGTCAGCTCTGTCCCTGTGGCACTTCTGATGGAAACTCTGGAGGTCATCAGAAGCAATCCTAATGAACTCCTGCTCAACGCTGCCGCCATCACTAACATGATAACATGATTTCGTTTAGAGGATTACTTCACACGAAACCAGGACAAATCTGTCATGATTTACTCACTCTCACTCAAACCTGCTATTTTTTTTCTTATCTGAAACACAAAAGGAGATATTTACTAATTTGTTCATGCTGCTCTTTTCCATACAAAGAAATTGAATGGAAACAAATGCTGTTGAACCACAAATTAATCATAAGTGTGACTGTTAGAGATGCAAGATAATGGTTAAACTAATCATAATTATTGTGCTAACATTATAATCACGGTTGTTCTCATTTGAAAATTTTCTTTTTTGACATTTGATCAGATTTATTGCTCTTCGGCGTAAATTGTAAGACAATTTAGATTTACATGAACGTTACTTTCTAAGTTGATGTGATCATTTTGAAAATAAAAACAGTCTATTTTTCGATGACAGTCAGCGCTAGCCATTGAAGTAACACTTCATATAACTGAGAGAGGTTAGATTATTCATTAATTGTTCGATTAATCATGAAAAAATATATATAGATTAATCAATTTTTTTAAAAAAGCCGTATGATCTACTTTTATAATTGTTATTTTTTGTAGCTAAACAGCATTGGTCCACATTCACTTTTTCGCTGAATGAAAAAGAGCTTAAAGGAGTAGTTCACTTTTAAAAAGCATTTGCTGATAATTTACTCACCCCCTTGTCATCCAAGATGTCCATGTCTTTCTTTCTTCAGTTGAAAAGAAATTAAGGTTTTTGATGAAAACATCAAAACATATAATGGATTTCAATGGGGCCCAAACGGTTCAAGGTCCAAAAGAGAGTTTCAGTGCAAACTGCAAACTGTTCAAAGGGCTTTAAACGATTTCAGGCAACGAATAAGGGTCTTATCTAGCGAAGCGATCGGTCATTTCAAAAATAAATGACAAAGTTTAAGGTTTTTTTTTAGCTCGCGTTGCTCTTTTCTGTGATCATCAAAATGAACTAATCTTTTTTCGAGTCATTTGGTTCATTCAACGAACGAAATGACTTGAAAAAAATTCATTTTCGTTCATTTTGATGAACGAGCTCGAACAGGAGAGTCACGAATGCGCATCACAGAACAGAGCAAGGTGAGCATTTATGCTTATAAAACTTAATGCACTGAAACTCTAATTTGGACCTTGAACCGTTTGGTTCCCATTGAAGTCCATTATATGGAGAAAAATCCTGGAATGTATTCATCAAAAACCTTAATTTCTTTTCGACTGAAGAAAGAAAGACGTGGACATCTTGGATGACATGGGGGTGAGTAAATTATCAGCAAAAGTTGTTTTAAAAAAAACTGAACTACTACTTTAAGTGATTAAATGACAATTTTTTCATTGCGTGCCAACTATCCCTTCAAGAATAATGAAATAATCAAACTCACTTAGTGGAGTAATAATACTAGACCTGTAACAGCACCAATAACATCAACTTTAAACTTCACACGTGGTGAATCTGACTCCTGATTGGTGATCTCCCCTTCTTATCCTCTCCATACTTCACAACTCTGTCATTCACAACTCAAACCCCTAAACCAGATCCGCCCTGACACACACTCACAGGACATTGTGTCTCAGTTCATTTGTAACACTCTCCTGCCTTTTCCTCCCACCAACATCCCCTTACCAACCCTCCATTCCAGGACAGAAAGTTCTTCAAGGGCTTCTTTGCAAAAGTAAGTTCTGATGTGTGCATTTATGTACAGTCCCAAATATACTCTATGCAAGTATACGATTTCATATGTTGTTGCGAAATTTCCAACACAGTCTCATGAAGATGCGTATCTATACCACGAGTGTCATTTCTCGTGGCATTTATACGCCAAAAGTGTTTTTTTCGTGTATATGGTACGCACTAAAAAACCCTGGGTTAGGTTTAGGGGGGTGGGGAGTTCGTGCGTATTATACGCAAAAAAGTGCGTATCATATGTACGCGAAAATCACGTGCCAAATACACGCAAAAACTGTTTTTGACGTATAAATGCCACGAGAAATGATATTCGTGCCATAGATACGATCTTTCATGAGATCGGGCTGAAATTTCAGAATTTACCGCAATATATCAAGAGCTTGAAGCAGATATGAGGGAGAAACACCCAGAAACACCTCATATGTGCCACTCACAAGGGGGTATCCTTACCAATAAACTTGTACAATACGCATATTATTAAAAAATAATGGCTGTTGTAAACCTACCAACATCCGTAGCCATGATTTTTGGAATGATGCTTTAAGGCCCGTACACATCGGGACGAATATCAGCGCGCGTTATTCGTCAGCGTTTTTCAACGTGTTTTTTATGTTCACACCAAAGCGATTCTCGTTGACGATGAGCCGAGTGAACATGCAAATTCATTCCCTGACATTAGGTGGCGCCAATTTGCTCTGCAATACCACTTCATAACAGTTATCCTTTATCAAGATGTTTGTAGTTGCTGTCGCGTTTGTCATATAGTTCTTTCACCATGTACACACTAATACGTTTTCGTTTGAAAACGTATATTTTTCTCTCCGTTTTGGTCTTCCGTCCACACTGAGACGCCGTTTTAAGTAAACAAAAACGTATCGTTTGGAAAACGCTCTCCAAAGTGGATAAATTTGAAAACGCCATTTTCGCGTTGTAGTGTGGACAGTGAAACCGGAGGTATTTCAAAATGATGACGTAAGTTTAGTCATATGATCCATGTAGTACCAATAGATATTCATGTTTTTCGGTATTGTGCCTGTTATGGGTTATTTATTTTTACACTATTGCTAAAATATGTTACTTTCTATTTTACTTAATATGTGCTATTCTTCATAGCACAGTACTGCAAAGATGACAGATAATGTACTTACTTTTGCTGTCCTGCGGCAAAACAGACCTGCTGTCCTTGCGTTTTAGACCAAACATATGGTGACTGAATGCGACCTGGACGCATCCGTGATGGTGAGATATTTTGCCAAATAAAATTATCCTGTTATTGTGCGATAACATTATTATTTATTTTCCCATCTGTATCATCTCAGTGAGCTTTTGTGAAGTTTCACGCATGAGCAGTAAAGTGAATTTAGAAGTTTCTCATCCATAAACACTGAAACGTCGGAAAACGCTAGTGTGGACAGAGAGCGTTTTTAAACGAAAACCCAGTTTTCAAATCTATCCGGATTAATGTGGACGTAGCCTTTATGTTCTAGCACCAATGAGAACAGCAGCTCTACATTCATCTTGCCTCGCATCTTCCTCGTCTTATTTCTTCCTGGCTGTGCAGACGGCGACGCTACTTGGCATCTTGGCGTATATATCTTCTTCGCCGTTGCCTATGTCTGCTCGGCAAGACTGTTTTGTATTTGAGCACCCCCAAGTTGTATTTTACTGTAACTTCAGAACCTCCAAACACGTGAGCAAAAGTGCCAATCTCATTGGTCGGATAGTTTTTGACGCAGCGCGTCAAACTAAAAAAACGAACCCGAGGCGTTTTTTTTTTTAAATTGATGCTTTTACGCGTGGCGTTTTACACGCCGGTGTGCACACTCACATTGGCGCCCATTGTTTAGTCACGAGGCGTTAAACGTCAGCGAATAACTCGAGCGAAATTCGTCCCGGTGTGAACAGGCCTTTAGTCGCATAACATCGATTAATGGAAACGCCGTCATTTCGCAATTGGTTTTTAACGACTTTTTTAAAATATCGTAAAAGTTTTGCGCAAATCTGTCTACTGTTGAATTGAACGAATACCCGCGAGGTCCACAGAGCAACAACGAGTGTCGATTAATCATTAAAATAGAGTATTTCTGACGACTTTTACCCGCGAGTACTGAGGTCTTTTACCGCCACAGCAACGATTGCAGTGCCTTGCTCAAGCATTCAGTGTTTACTTGCATAGAGTATGTTTGTGGCTCAAACACGTGTGAATGTGTGTCCACTTTTTTTCCCCACTGATAGATTAGTTTGCTCCTAAAACATGCCCGGAGCAATAGAAGAGTGTGTGCAAACTGAGTCACAAAACTCATTTTGTTTCCTTTCCTGTCACGAAAATATGTGTGTGTGTGTGTGTGTGTGTGAGAGAGCTAATTTCTGCACTTAGGTAAGTGTGAACACAGCTCCCCGAATCAGGGCGTGTGTTTGTTTGAATGCTCACCCTCTGTTCTTCCTCTTCCAACATGCCTGCTTCTTCTACCGCTGCTGTGACCTTCTCTGAACTCAATGTTTTGAACTTTTCTCTATTTTCAGGTGTTGTTGGTAGATTTGTGTGAAAGTGGAGGAGGGTGAAGGGCCTCAACAAGGGGAACTTGTGGGAAAATCAACTCTCTTCTCTTTGAAAGTCTCTGTTTTCCCTCCATCCCTCATTGTTTGTGTGTTATGTGTGTCCACACAGGCGGGTAAGAAGGCTGTGCGCGCGGTGCTCTGGGTGTCTGCAGATGGCCTGAGGGTCGTAGATGACAAGACAAAGGTACTGAAGGACTCCAATCTGACCTGAGATGATCCATTAGATCCCACATATAAATACAGTCCAGATGCTCATAATGAATGGCACTTGCTCACTGCCCTCTCCCATTTCAAGGAAATCATCCAAACTGGTTTTGTGAATCAGACCAGCCGATTAAATGAAAAGATGCAATTTTTCATGAACTCGTGTCAACTTAACAATGAGAGCTAGTGCACATCAGGATTAGTATAGTCAACTAAAACTTAAACCATACTTTTTTTTTAATTCACAATAATATATTTATGCAAATAATAGTTTCAGGTAGTACATTTCTCATTGTCATTTAGTTTAACTTGATAAAATAATTAAAAGTGAAAAAAAAAATTAAATGTTTTATTTAAAAAAAATATGAAATAAAAAACAACGAAATGACAAACTTTTGACTAAAACTTTTAACTAAAATTGAAATGAAAACTGAAATACAAAAAATAGAAAATATAGTATATATATATTTCAATTTTAGTTAAAAGTTTTATATATATATATAATATATATATAAAGTCCAAAAGAATCAAGAAAATCGAAAAAATCAAGAAAATCAAGTTTTTAATGTTTATATGTGTATGTGGTGTTTTTAATATGCTTTAACACACACCATGTGTAAATTCATAAGTCGACAGCATTGCTGAGTATTTTCTTTATAAAACTGCACCAAAGATGGTCTCAAAAACATGGTGTGAAACCGCTGGTGTTTCTGACGTCACCAACTACCTTGTAACCAATCAGATCAACGTGTGATCGTCAACAAGTGGATCTCAGGGTTGAATGAGTGAGTGGAGGCGGGGCTCATTTGCATATTCATAGAACCGAGTGTACAAAATGAGGCAAGGGTGTCGAGTTACATTCAAAATGTTTTAAGGCATGAAGTTCTTTTTTTTTTCCAATGAAAAACATTTAAATATGTTATTTTGTTGATCAGATGAATTTAAAGGTAAAACATGACTACAGGAGGACTTTAAATAAACTGACCAGTAGTTATACTTTGTATAATCCTCTTGCATCCTTTAATTATTTGATCCCAGTCATTGAAAATGCACAGTAAAGGGCATCTCTTCAAAATGTATTTGTGTGTGTGTGTGTGTGTGTGTGTGTGTGTGTGTTAGATGTAAGAGGTTTGGGTCAACATGAGGATAGGTGAATGAAGCAGTTGTCCTATATTCTTGCACACTTATCATATTCATCTATTCCTGCCCCCTGCTGGTGTGAGCCAGTCATTGCTCATCACTTCACGGATTTCAGTCTGGCAAGCACAAAAGTCCATATCGCTGCATATGAAACCATCTCAAGTGAATAACCACAGTTCAGTTTGTTTGTATGTGATGTTTATGCATTATAATATTAATACTACAGCAGACCTCAAGCAGTAATAATGAAAATGCTAGCACTGATCACAGCATAGATTTAATGAAGAAATTAAAGACACTAACTGACTTTTAAAATGTGCAATCTTTTACTGATGGAGATGTCTACAAAAGCTGGAGCTCCTAAAATTATTATTGTTTATGAATCTGTTGTCAACAAATGAGAAGCTCTCCCAACTATTTCACAATACAGTAGTAAGGAGTTTTACAATTGAATAACTTAAATCCACATTTAACGCATGTTTTCCCTCTTCTTTCCCCCCTGATGAGTTTGAATCCCTGTTTACAGTATGACTGATGAACACTGAGGCTCTTTTCACCTGTAGATCGTTTGCTTTGTTCAGAAAAAGGGGCTTCATTTTTATTGATTACAAGGCATTGCATGCATTTGCTCCAGACTATCTTTCAAAAATGCTTATAGTTATGAACCTGTAATCCTCAGATCCTTTTAAATGGATAGTTCACTTTGAAATACATTTTTGGTATGTTTTAGCTTACCTCAAGGGCATCCGAGATGTAGGTGTCTTTGTTTCCTCAGTAGTTTCAATTTTGATATTTTTAGGTCAAACCGTTCTTGTCTGTCAGTCATATAATGGAGGTCTATGGTCACCACCTCAAAGAGCATGCACAGAGAAGTCCAGATTAAACCTGATTTAATAACTCGTAAATGTAAGCACACATTGATGGCCTAAGACACGAAACGAGCGGTTTGTGTGAGAAAACGAACAGTATTTATATTGTTTTTACCTCTTGTAACCTGCGCCCTCAGATCACTTGGACATGGCTGTGGTTACAAGAGGTAAAAACGATATAAAAACCGTTCGTTTTCTCACACAAACCGCTCGTTTCGTGTCTTAGGCCATCAATGTGTACTTACATTTACGAGTTATTTTATTAAATCAGGTTTAATTTGGACTTCTCTGTGCATGCTCTTTGAGGTGGTGACCATAGACCTGCACTATATGACTGACAGACAAGAACGGTTTGACCTAAAAATATCAAAATTGAAACTACTGCGGAAACAAAGACACCTACACATTGGATGCCCTTGAGGTAAGATAAAACATATCAAAAATTAATTCAAAGTGAACTATCCCTTTAATAATACCACAAAAGTAGGAGTGAAAGATTGGGCGATGCTGCTTTTATCCGCTGTTCTCCTCGCGTCTGGAAAGAGGAAGTGCGACGTGCTAAAAATAGTAATAGTTTAAGTCTAAATTAAAAGATATTTTTTAGTCTGGCCTTTCTTCATTTTTAGATATTTTATTTCTTTATAGTTAATCCTTATAAACTTTATTCTTATTCTTGTATTTTAATGGGTCTACTATCCATTGTATCTATTGTTTGTTTTGTTTTTTTTCCTGTAAAGCACTTGGAACTTCATTGATTTGTTCGGAAAAGTACTATATAAATACATTTGCTTGCTTAATGTGTTACAATGTTGCATTTTCTTCTTGGTTTTGGTTAGTTTTTCACAAGGCAACATTTCAAAGCATACCAAAATGTGTTGACAGGTCACATGTGCGTAAAACGCCCTCTTATTGGTCAGAGATTCGTCTGCGTCATCCGTCAAGATGGATTGAGGTTTTTTTTTGTTCCACTGGCGTATTGTGGCTTCATCTGTAGCTGTCGTGACAAAACATTGTGCGTTTGTGAGATAAAGAAAACAAACAGGACGCCACTGGTTTCCTTTCCGGGAAGTTTGTGGAGCGCGTCACAGAAATGTAACGAAACTCAGCGTATAGGATACAAGCAAACTCTAGCTCTGAAACTAATGTGTGGGCTTAGAATCGGTGTATTATTACAAATAAATAGATTGAGATTCACAAAAATGTATCAAATTTATAAATAAATAGATTAAGATCCACAAATAAATGTAAAGAGTTTCACAAAAATGCATAAAACTCACAAAAATAAATAAAGGTTTGCAAGATTTGTAATATTACAGCTGGGCAACGATTAATCTCATACAAAATATAAGTTAGTTTACAAAATATATGTGTGTGTGCTGTGTATAATTATTTTGTATATATAAATACAAACACATGCATATATATATATATATATATATACACACATAAGAAAAATGTGTTTATTTTTTTTATTTGTTTAAAATGTATATATTTAATGATACAAATATAAAATATATATATATATATATAAAAATATATTTACAAATGTGTTTTTTATGTCACAAACACAACCCTGTCTGGTATTTGTTTGTGAAACACTTCAATTAATTCAAATCCAGCAATTAACCCCATCGAAAACACCCTGTTCTTTTGTGGAAATAAACACTTTGCCATTCTGCCTGTTTTGTTGTCAGGATCTGATCCTGGACCAGACGATAGAGAAGGTTTCCTTCTGTGCGCCGGACCGTAACTTTGAGCACGCCTTCTCCTACATCTGCAGAGACGGGACCACACGCCGCTGGATCTGCCACTGTTTCATGGCCGTCAAAGACTCGGTGAGCGCTCTCATGCCCGTCACACACACTCATGGCCTTACATTTTATTAACTGCCTCTTCATATAAAATTGTGTCTGGAAAGCTAAGGACGAGAGCTTACAAATCTACATCTTATCAAGTTGCTAGAAAACATAGAATATGTTGTTAATTGCACATAATATGGACCATGGCAATATGAACTGTGTTGTCATTCGATTTTGTGTCTAATATCATGAAAAGTACAAATAACCTGAAATTAAATGTAAATACTAAATATTTAAATAGTCACAATTACAAGAATAAACACCAAATCCATTGGAGTGACCACAATATACAGTATACAGCATTAAAACTGCAATAATATGATCAGACAGAAGAAGAGCTCTTATTACGTCATTTATCTCACATACAGTCTCTTCTGCATTATTTGACCAAAAATACAGTAAAAACAGCAACAATGTGAAATATTATTACAATTTAAAATAGATCTTTTCTGAATATACTTTAAAATGTACAGTATTTTATCCCTGTGATGCAGTTTCTTACCACTATCCTTGTTATCATTTCTTATTATTTTCAGTTGTGCTGCTTAATATTGTGAGGTAAACTGTGATAAATTAGTATAAGTTGTAAAGAGCAGCATTTGTTTGAAATAGAAATCATTTGAAACATTTTAAATGTCTTTACTGTCACTTTTGGTCAATGAAATGATCCCTCAGAAATCATTCCAGTATGCTGATCTGACGCTTAAAAAACACTCATTATTATTATCAATGTTCAAAAACCATCGTGGACTATTTTTTCCCAGCATTCCTTGATGAATAGAAAGTTCTATTTTGTTTATTTGGAATAGTATCTTTTGTTAACATAAACTAGAGCCCGACCGATAAAGGATTTTGAAGGCCGATACCGATACAAATATTTTTGGGTTTTAAAATTCGATATTCCGATACATCGGCCGATATATATATATTTTTTTTATTAAATATTGTTGGATTTCACACACGTGTAAAAAAAAAAACCTAACTTTTCTGCACAAGATACATTTGATACTTTTTCTCTATGTCTAAATGTTCACTCAGTATAACTTACATTTTACAATGCAGGGACTGTAACTAGAGATATGCGAGTTATAAATACAGTAATCATTACTTTATTTAGCCAGAAAAAGTTCATTGTGGTTTCCAAGCTCATTAATGTTAACGTTAGCGGTCTTCCACTGATGATAGTGGCATTAGCTAGCTTTGTGGTTAGCTAGTCTATGATGAGCCATAATTTAGCAATAGATAACATCATACTGCAAATTGTAAAACATACATTTTCAAGGAGAGATGATTGAAGCATGTTTCATCCGTTTTTATTTTTATTTTTTAAATATTCATTTATCGGCCATTATAACTGCCGATACCGATATTTTGGAAAATGCCTAATATCAGCCGACCGATATATCGGTCTGGCTCTACTCTAAACTTAAATGTCCAGTATAAAAAAATCGTGTATACATATGTTTTAAAAATGAATCATATTGATATAATTCTTTAATTATGGTGAATCATATTCTACTATAATTGAATGTAATATGATATATTTGAAGAGGGCATTGTGTGTGTGTGTGTGTGTGGTCAGGGCGAGCGTCTGAGCCATGCGGTGGGCTGTGCGTTTGCCGCGTGTCTGGAGCGGAAACAGAAGCGGGAGAAAGAGTGCGGGGTCACGGCCACCTTCGATGCCAACCGCACCACCTTCACACGGGAGGGCTCGTTCCGCGTCACCACCGCCACCGAGCAGGCGGAGCGAGAGGAGGTCATGCGGCAGCTGCAGGACGCCAAGAAAGGTGCGTTTCAGACCTCGTCACGGCGTGGTATACGCTACCGTTTAAAACATGTCTCTTCTGCTCACCAACGATATATAATCAAAATTACAGTATTATTGCGATTTAAAATAACTGTTTTCTATGTGAATATACTTTAAAATGTACAAACCAGATTCCAAAAAAGTTGGGACACTGTACAAATTTGGAGTAAAAAAAGAATGGAATAATTTAGAAATCTCATAAACTTATATTTTATTCACAATAGAATATAAATGACATATCAAATGTTGAAAGTGAGACATTTTGAATTGCCATGCCAAATATTGGCTCCTTTTGGATTTCATGAGAGCTACAAATTCCAAAAAAGTTGGGACAGGTAGCAATAAGAGGCCAGAAAAGTTAAATGTACATGTAAGGAATAGCTGGAGGACCAATTTGTAACTTATTAGGTCAATTGGCAACATGATTGGGTATAAAAAGAGCCTCTCAGAGTGGCAGTGTCTCTCAGAAGTCAAGATGGGCAGAGGATCACCAATTCCCCCAATGCTGAGGCAAAAAATAGTGGAGCAATATCAGAAAGGAGTTTCTCAGAGAAAAATTGCAAAGAGTTTGAAGTTATCATCATCAACAGTGCATAATATCATCCAAAGATTCAGAGAATCTGGAACAATCTCTGTGCGTAAGGGTCAAGGCCGGAAAACCATACTGAATGCCCGTGATCTTCGGGCCCTTAGACGGCACTGCATCACACACAGGAATGCTACTGTAATGGAAATCACAACATGGGCTCAAGAATACTTCCAGAAAACATTATCAGTGAACACAATCCACCGTGCCATTCACCGTTGCCGGCTAAAACTCTATAGGTCAAAAAAGAAGCCATATCTAAACGGGAAACAGAAGCGCAGGCGTTTTCTCTGGGCCAAGGCTCATTTAAAGTGGACTCTAGCAAAGTGGAAAACTGTTCTGTGGTCAGACGAATCAAAATTTGAAGTTCTTTTTGGAAAACTGGGACGCCATGTCATCCGGACTAAAGAGGACAAGGACAACCCAAGTTGTTATCAGCGCTCAGTTCAGAAGCCTGCATCTCTGATGGTATGGGGTTGCATGAGTGCGTGTGGCATGGGCAGCTTACACATCTGGAAAGGCACCATCAATGCTGAAAGGTATATCCAAGTTCTAGAACAACATATGCTCCCATCCAGACATCGTCTCTTTCAGGGAAGACCTTGTATTTTCCAACAAGACAATGCCAAACCACATACTGCATCAATTACAACATCATGGCTGCGTAGAAGAAGGATCCGGGTACTGAAATGGCCAGCCTGCAGTCCAGATCTTTCACCCATAGAAAACATTTGGCGCATCATAAAGAGGAAGATGCAACAAAGAAGAACTAAGACAGTTGAGCAGCTAGAAGCCTTTATTAGACAAGAATGGGACAACATTCCTATTCCTAAACTTGAGCAACTTGTCTCCTCAGTCCCCAGACGTTTGCAGACTGTTATTAAAAGAAGAGGGGATGCCACACAGTGGTAAAAATGGCCTTGTCCCAACTTTTTTTAAAATGTGTTGATGCCATGAAATTTAAAATCAACTTATTTTTCCCTTAAAATTATGCATTTTCTCAATTTAAACATTTGATATGTTATCTATGTTGTATTCTAAATATAATATTGAAATTTGAAACTTCCACATCATTGCATTCTGTTTTTATTCACAATTTGTACAGTGTCCCAACTTTTATGGAATTGGGTTTGTAAGTTAATCCTGGGATCAAAGCTAAATTTTCAGTGTCACATGATCCTTCAGAAATCATGATGCTAAAGAAACATTTCTGATTATTATCAATGTTGATTTTTGTGGAAACTGATCTCTTTTTTTTTTCGGGACCGATTTATTTGATTTTTAAATGTCTTATTGTCACTGTGATCAGTTTAATGAATAGGTTTATACATCTAATGGGTCTTTATAATGAGCGGTATAGGAAGGATGAGTTACCATATTCGAGGATCTTTGAAACGCTCTGCATTAGATAACTAAATATCAAAGCAAGTGCGCTCAGATTTACATTTTCTTTTCTGGACTATTTTTGGACTATGACTTACCTAGCTGGTGTCACATTCAGATTTGTAGTGGATCAGTAATAACATCCATTTTTATGATCAGTTATACACTATAAAACGTTTGGGTAATTTTTTTGGTTTGGTTAATGTTTTTATTTAGCAATGACACATTCAATTGATTGTAACGGTAAATGATTTTGGTAACGTCATTGATAATGTCGCAAATAAATGTATTCTATAATAATCATGTGACACTGAAGAATGGAGTAATGATGCTGAAAATTCAGCTTTGATCACAGGAAAAAAAAAGTATATTTTACAATGAATACAATCCAATTCAAATGTATTTGTATAGCGCTTTTCACAATACATATTGTTTCAAAGCAGCTTTACAGAAAGTGCATTTCAGAAAAATACAGTTAGTTAATCATGTATTAATTTAGGGCATAACATATCGCCGGCGTCGAGTCGTCTCAATCGTAGGTGTTGGGGCATCTGAAGTCTCTGTGAGAGGCTGGATACAAACTGGAGCTGACAAACGCCATTTACTTCAGAATTAGCGTCCCGAGATAACAGCAGGAAACCAGACGTGAAATAATTAGCATAGCTGCTGTAATATGAATGCATTCGATCTGATTCAACAGTGGTATAAAAGGTAAGCATTATGTGAATGCTTGGCTAAAGAAATGCATCTTTAAAGGAATAGTTCACATTGAAATACATTTTTGGTATGTTTTAGCTTACCTCAAGGGCATCCAAGATGTAGGTGTCTTTGTTTCCGCAGTAGTTTCAATTGTGATATTTTTAGGTCAAACCGTTCTTGTCTGTCAGTCATATAGTGCAGGTCTATGGTCACCACCTCAAAGAGCATGCACAGAGAAGTCCAAATTAAACCTGATTTAATAAAATAACTCGTAAATGTAAGTACACATTGATGGCCTAAGACACGAAACGAGCGGTTTGTGTGAGAAAACGAACGGTTTTTATATCGTTTTTACCTCTTGTAACCACAGCCATGTCCAAGTGATCTGAGGGCGCAGGTTACAAGAGGTAAAAACAATATAAATACTGTTCGTTTTCTCACACAAACCGCTCGTTTCGTGTCTTAGGCCATCAGTGTGTACTTACATTTACGAGTCATTAAACCATGTTTAATTTGGACTTCTCTGTGCATGCTCTTTGAGGTGGTGACCATAGACCTCCATTATATGACTGACAAAAACAAAAACAAATGCATCCGTGGTGACATCTTTCAGAAAGATTAAACAAATCATTCTGACCCCAAACTTCTGAGTGGTAGTGTTAACACAGTCTCATCCCAAAAAGTCATATAACTGACGTTTTGGGACTTATTTTGACCATACGTCAATATCCGCCTTTTTAGGGCCCCCTTAAACGTCGGTAGATGGCGATCCCGGGCCGTCATACAACTGACGCTTTACCTTTAACGTCAGTTGGGGTTAGGGTTAGGTTTAGGTATGGGGTAGAGTTAGGATCCCATAACCTCATCTACCTACGTTTAAGGGGGCCCTAAAAAGGCGAATATTGACGTATGGTCAAAAGACGTCCCAAAACGTCAGTTATATGACGTCTTGGGATGAGACCGGGTTGGTAGTGTAGTGGTGTCATTGGCAACCTTTCGTCTCTCCTCAGACTCTGAGTGTGTGTTGAGCATCTCCTCTGTGGGCGTATCAAACCCTGCGGTCTCCCTGGTGGGACCCAACGACTCGTCGTCCTCGCCGCCTCTGTCCATGAACACACTGGCCCCTCAGGACGTCAATCCTCACGCCATCCCCCGACGCCACGCGCCCGTGGAGGCTCTCGCTCGCCAGGGCTCGTTCCGCGGCTTCCCGGCGCTCAGCCAGAAGACCTCTCCCTTCAAACGCCAGATGTCCCTGCGCATGAACGAGCTGCCGTCCACCATGCAGCGCAAGTCGGACTTCCCCAGCAAGAACACTGGTGAGGCTCTTCAACTTCTCTGATCGTCAAAACATGCTTTATTGGACTGTCCTGGGAAGTTATTTCACTTAAAGGAGCAGTTCACTTTTAAAAACGCTTTTGCTGATAATTTACTCACCCCCATGTCATCCAAGATGTCCACGTCTTTCTTTCTTCAGTTGAAAAGAAATTAAGGTTTTTGATAAAAATATTCCAGTATTAAATATTCCATATTATTAAATATTCCATATTATTTTCTCTATATAATGGACTTCAATGGGGTCCAAATGGCTCAAGGTCCAAATGAGAGTTTCAGTGCAGCTTTAAACGACACCAGACGATAAATAAGGGTCTTGTCTAGGACCCTTCAATTCATGACTCGAAGCATTTGAGCTTATAAAACTTTAACTTTTTTATTTATTTTTGAAATGACCGATAATTTCGCTAGATAAGCCCCTTATTCATCGTCTGGTGTTGTTTAAAGCCCTTTGAAGCTGCACTGAAACTCTCATTTGGACCTTGAACCGTTTAATCCTGGAATGTTTTCATCAAAAACCTTAATTTCTTTTCAACTGAAGAAAGAATGACATGGATATATTAGATGACATGGCGGTGAGTAAATTATCAGCAAAAGTTTTTTTTGTTTTTTTTTTTAAAGTGAACTACTCCTTTAAGGACTGGTTTAAAGACTGAAAAGTTTTTCGATCATATGTTAATTTAAAAATATATATTATAATATGACTACTTGTGTTTGATTGTATTTACATGATATTTGTAATTTTGAATTGAATATTTGCAATGTATCGATCTCTGATCATCATCTTTCCAGATCTAAAAATGTAATCGATAGGTTTTCTATATGCTGTATATACAGTAGAACACATTTGAAGTGGATTAAAACCGTTCATCAACGTTATACATGAATTTTGAACAATAGCTGTTCTTGTATTAGGACAACTTTGATGAACTTTCTTGATCCACTTCAAATGTTGACTACTGTATTTCGTAGAGCTGGGCTTTGACTTTCACATGCTTGCAATTCAATTCAAGATCGATTCATTTGGATATACAGTATCAGGTACAGTACGTATTTTTTTCTCAAGAAAAAAAATTCTCAACTAATGGTGTAAACTATAAAGGGAACAGTCGGTACATTTAATATTAACAACTGATTTGGATACAAATATTTAAATTGCAGTTTCTATATTATATATCTTAATTTTAAAAAAAAATTAATGACAGTTATGTTTCTACTCCAGTTTGTTTTGTTTTTAAATATAAACATTTAAACAATGGCTGTCACAGATTTATTTGAACCTAAATTCATTATTGAAGACCAAGTTAAAGCTACAATATGCAATATTTCCCGCGCTAGGGGTCGCTAACCTCTTACAATAACAAAGGCTTAGGTTGATGACGCAAAGCATTAAGCGGAATTATGGATCTTGCCGTCAAGCTGATGGATCTAATAATGTTTATGGATTAGTGAATACAGATCATATTGTTGAGCTATACAGATCATAATCTGACATTTCATCATGTTGAGCTACATAACATTGATTAGTTTTATGTACATTTTCTCACCTGTCTAAAAAAGTACATGCAACACTTTTAACAGAGACGCCACTTGATATCGGTTCATCGATTTAAATTTGACAAATCAATATTTTCTACCCAGCTCTACAATATAGTACGTCCGTCTCTTTTTGCTCCTTCTCTCATTGTTCCTAAAGCCTTAACAGAAGGCAGTGAGTTGGTTTGAGGATATGTAGTCAGTGATTGTTGTGCTGTGTTTGTCAGTGCCGGAGGTGGAGGGAGAGGGCGACAGCATCAGCTCTCTGTGCACTCAGATCACATCCACCTTCAGTGGGCCTCCAGAGGACCCGTTCTCCTCGGCACCGATGCCCAAACACACCTCCTCACCACAGTCGCCCGCTGCTCCAGGTCAGCTTAACTCTCACACTCTCACCACTTTACGGGGGGGGGGGGGGGGGGGGATCTGTGTGTGTGTGTGTGTTATGGATTTACAATTTTTAAACTAGTCAGCTGGTCAGAGTTTACCTTATGCAAATGACCTGTGCTGCATCTGTATCTGCCGGTTTAAAAAGAATGGATTAAAGGATATCCACCTAAAGGATTATTAGGAAAACCTGTTCAATTTCTCATTAATGCAATTATCTAATCAACCAATCACATGGCAGTTGCTTCAACGCATTTAGGGGTGTGGTTCTGGTCAAGACAATCTCCTGAACTCCAAACTGAATGTCAGAATGGGAAAGAAAGGTGATTTAAGCAATTTTGAGCGTGGCATGGTTGTTGGTGCCAGACAGGCCGGTCTGAGTATTTCACAATCTGCTCAGTTACTGGGATTTTCACACTCAACCATTTCTAGGGTTTACAAAGAATGGTGTGAAAAGGGAAAAACATCCAGTATGCGGCAGTCCTGTGGGCCAAAATGCCTTGTTGATGCGAGAGGTCAGAGGAGAATGGGCCGACTGATTCAAGCTGATAGAAGAGCAACTTTGACTGAAATAACCACTCGTTACAACCGAGGTATGCAGCAAAGCATTTGTGAAGCCACAACACACACAACCTTGAGGCGGATGGGCTACAACAGCAGAAGACCCAACCGGGTACCACTCATCTCCACTAAAAAATAGGAAAAAGAGGCTACAGTTTGCAAGAGTCACCAAAATTGGACAGTTGAAGACTGGAAAAATGTGGCCTGGTCTGATGAGTCTCGATTTCTGTTGAGACATTCAGATGGTAGAGTCAGAATTTGGCGTAAACAAAATGAGAACATGCATCCATCATGCCTTGTTACCACTGTGCAGGCTGGTGGTTGTGGTGTAATGGGGGATGTTTTCTTGGCACACTTTAGGCCCCTTAGTGCCAATTGGGCATCGTTTAAATGCCACGGTCTACCTGAGCATTGTTTCTGACCATGTCCATCCCTTTATGGCCACCATGTCCCCATCCTCTGATGGCTACTTCCAGCAGGATAATGCACCATGTCACAAAGCTCCAATCATTTCAAATTGGTTTCTTGAACATGACAATGAGTTCAATGCCATGTAAAATTAAGGCAGTTCTGAAGGTGAAAGGGGGTCAAACACAGTATTAGTATGGTGTTCCTATTAATCCTTTAGATGAGTGTGTATGTGTGTATATATATATATTATGTATACATTTGTTTTAAACTGTAATAATATATATATCAACACATACATTTTTTGATATATTATTACAGTTTAAAACAAATGTTTTCTTTTTAAATACATGTATAAATGTAATTTATACATTCAGCATCATGAGTGATCATGAGTGAGTGAGTGAGTAAGTGAGTGACGTGTCTGTGGATTAATTCTTCAACAACTAGCTAGTAAATTAGTCAACTAATAAAAAGCCATTACTAATAAAAAGCTTATGTTGTGCAGTTTGAGGAAAGAGGAATTTTTGCACCATATATACAATCAATGCTAATCAATACAGGTGACCCAACACATTCTCTAGTGGCAGAACTAATCATCTAGTCTTTTCAATCCCTAATACATGTGTGTGTGTGTGCATGCTACTCTTGCTTGTGTCCGGCTCTGTCTCTAATCTACTCGTCGTGTCACTCCTGTCTGCTGCTGTAGTCAACGGAGCAGTTCCTGCTTTCCCGCCGCCTAGCGTCACAGTCTCCGCTGCCGCTAACTCTCCCGTGCTGCCGCCCCCGCTGCCTGTGCGAGAGACTAACCCCTGGGCCAAGACCCCAAACACAGCCCACACAGCACATATAGGTAAGACACCTGGGCTCCCTGTGCTGCTGACCATGCAGGATAGGTGCTGAGAAACTCACTTTAGTGTGTAATGCAAGGCAGTACTGTGAGCTGCTGTTGCATACTTTAATCTCAAAATTGCATGAGATGAAACGTGTGAATTCATCTAAAATCACAAAAATGTATCATTTCAGCTGCTAACTGTACTTGCAACTTGCTTAGTTATTGTCACAGTCTGATATTTATGTAAAAAATATAGTTAAATTTGTATTTTTTTGGTAATGTTTCCTGTACTTATAATGTTTAATTATAATGTCTATTAATCAGATGGACAATTCAACATTTACCTGATCTTTAGCTACTAGTTTCTAAAAAAAATCACATTTAATTTGTCAATAAGATGGACAATTAAGAATCAAAACACTAAGTATGTGAAATGAGTGCGTGTTCTTCTCTAGTAAATTACAATTCAAGAACAGCAATGTAAAGTGAGGCATTTAAGATTAAAGTAAGTAATTTTACAAATAATTAAAATGGAATTTAAAAAAAAAAACATTTTTCTAGTAATCTATTAGTCTGCATTTACATTGTGCGTATCCATTTTGCATGCCATATTTGTGTCCCGTGCAAGTTATCATTATCAATTGCAATTTTGAGAGTGAATCCTGCATTAATTGATGTCACTTCCAAAATCTTTCAGCATGTAATTGCCCATCTGTCCTCTTAGCAGCATAAAAACAATACTTTTATTTATAGCTAGAGCCTCGAAAGCATGAAAGAGCGCTCACTTTACAATCACTAAAAAGCTATGATTCATCTCAGTTTGCGATCTCACAATGTTCCATCAAAATCAGTCAAGTTGCCTACACATACCATATTGAGTCTCTTACTTACCACGTGTCTCTTTTTTAATGAGGGGGTTCGCGAGAGCAACCAAAACTCGTCACCAGACAAAAACATATTAATGGCGCAGGTGAAATTACACTATATTTAGCACAAACAGGGCTACCATAATATGTGAGCAACATGTATGTACATGTTTGTATTTTTGAGAGAATACTGTTTATGTGTGGTTATTGAAAAAACAAAATATGAAAGTTTTCTTAAATAAAAGGCCACAAAACACACAAGACTTTTGACTAGGGCTGTTGGAACGAATTCCGAAATTCGAATATAATTCGAATATTTAAAAAATCAATACTATACGAAGGCTGAAGTTACTATTCGAATATTGCTTTTATATATATATTTTAAAAAAAATATATGCAATCTTTCTCGCGGCTTACACGCATGTGAAAATTAAATGCTGTTGTTTCGTCTAATGAACAATAACGTTTTTGAATTGTAACACAATTGTGCACGTTATCCAAGCTGTAGGCTATCATCAGAGTTTCCCATACAGACATCCTAAGTCTCTCGGAAGTTCCGGGAGTCTCCCGCATATTGATAGTGTCTCCCTGATGCCCGCAAATTAGTTAAAATCTCCCGGAATCTAGAGCGAGATAGAACATACTGCACGCATAACGTACATAGCATGCGGCGCGTGCATGGCAGAGAGGGAGAAAACGAGACCTTGCGAGTGCCTCGCGAAAGCTAGTCCCGCGCGTGCGCTCTATCTCCCCCTTTGCAGACTGATCTCATGAAATGGCTCAAAATGCCACTTGACTTGAAAGTGGCGTGTATGTTGACGCAAAAGTCATGATGTCATGTTGCCCTTTGGAACTTGCAAGGAGCCTATCTAATAAGGTGAGCTAAGTTATTATTAGAATACAGCTGTATTTTCGAGGTTAGCACGTTGTATAGCTGGTAGTTAATATCGATGGACACACGTTTGTTCCACTTTTTTATTGTTAATAAGAAAGCGATCTAAATGTTTATTGTAGTAATTAGGGCTGGGTAATAAATATCGATTTCTCGATATTAATCGATTCTCATTTTTACGAACCGATATCGATTCTTAAGTCTCAAGAATCGATTAGTCATCCTGTTTCATTTGAATGAATGGGACATTGTATCGCGGCTGCGCGCATCCAAAAAATCACAATAATCTTTGTCCTTTGTTACTATTGATATGAAACAAAGTCTCAATTTTCAAATTACGTCCATTTTCTTTAGAAATTCAAAAACATAAATAGCGTTTTGGCGCTGTGGCGTGAGATCGCTCTGACGCAGCTCTAGAGAAGCAGCAGCGCTGATCTCTCTTCCGGGTTAATAATACCAGTCACAGCGCGAAATAAACATGAATGAGCATCTGAAAGTGTGTTAAAAGATAGAGTACAACTTATCGAAATCCTTATCATGTCACATTCGCTCAATCAGCGTTTCAACCGTGGAAAGACGTCAGTTAAACAGCTTGTAATCAATTTCATCGTCATATTTACCTCAGAAAACCCACATAAACTCGTTAGTCAGCTAGAGAAAATAACTGTAGAGAGGAGCATTTTGCTAAATATATACACCATATTACATATGTATTAATGTTCTTCAATATGTAATGCATATTTGAATAAATCTGGCAAGTTTTTATGACAGCCACCATTTAAATGTTTATATTTCATATAATCTTCTTATTATAAAAATAAATAAAAGTGTAATTTAAGTGATTCATTCATTATTACCTTCATATTAGGCTAATGAACCCTAGTAGGCTACAACTAGACTCCCACAGTTTACAGCATTAGTTAAGAGATTTGATTCCCTTGAGAAAAATTGGCATTTATTGTAACTGATATCCAAAATAATCGATATTGAATCGAATCGTAATCGTAATCGAATCGAATTGCAAGCTTGTGAATCGAAATCGAATCGAATTGTGAAATTTGTCTCAATACTCAGCCCTAGTAGTAATGTTAGATTAGTGGACAGGCTATAGTGGCATTTGCGATCCATAAGAATGTGTAATGTCGTAAATATTAATAATAGGATGAATTTGAGCATTTAATATTCTAATATTATTCGAATATTACATAAAATATGGAATGGAATTCGAATAGTATTACAGAGGAATATTGACAGCCCTACTTTTGACTAATTGATGTTGTTGCCTAGAGTTTTTTTCTTCACTATGATCTGAAAATCGTCTTCTTAATCGTTCACATAAAACTGTGAATTGGGTTATATTGTGAAAGACATTTTTTGTTTTTGCCAAGGCAATATGCGAATGGGTTTTCTGATTTGCTGATTTGGGTTTGCTGATTTGTCTATCCACGTGATGCCACATGTAAACAGATATGGTAGCCTAATTCAAAAAGGAATGTATGGCTTTAAAAAATATCCATGGTAGGTACTGTGCTTGTGAATGATAGACTTTCGGCCAATCCCAATTCTACCCCTTACCCCTTCACTTTCCCCTAGCCCTACCCCTTCACCTTCCCCTTGACCCTTGAAACAGAGTGGCAATGCGTAGGGGTGAAAATATTCCCCTAAGAAATGGGACACCACTACGCCTCCGTTAAACGTCATTATAAGTCGTCGCTAACGCCTACGTCACAGGAGATGCGCCGATGTTTATCACAACTTCCAAGATGCCGTCGACAGCTGCTGTTATCTCAGTGGCGTGGGTTACAGCTATTTTCTTGCATTTATCTTGTGAAGTTCGCTGGAAACAACGGAGACGACGAAAATATGTTGCGGGACTATCGTTAGCAAACTACAGTAATTTTAGCGATTTTTTTTTTTTTTTTTTTTTTTTTTTTTTTACAAACGTTTCTGTGAAGAAACTGACCATAAATATGAACACAAAATTAAATGTAAAAAAAAGCAAATCATTATTCGTCATTACAATACTTATTAAAGCCACAAATACGTACATTTATGGGTCTTCTTTTTCACTTGGGCAGCCATTTTGCGTCTGTAGCCTGGGTTAGCAGTGACACTTCTCATACCCCTTCGTTTGAAGTGTGCTCCCGAAAAACCTTCGTTTGAAGGGCTATCTGGCCCTTCCCCCTCGCCCTCCCCCTCCAACCAAAAGAGAATTGGGACAGCCCTACCCCTTCACGTGGACGCGCAAAACGGAGGGGAAGGGGAAAGTGAAGGGGTAAGGGGTAGAATTGGGATTGGCCCTTTATCAACCTAAAACCTTTTTTGTATGTTATGCACTTATTCCTACAGCTTAAACAAACTGTTTCGTTGCTAGAGAACAACGTTCTTGCCCGCCAGCCAGCACTTGTGACATCACGTGCAAAATATGAATATAGCATGCGAAAAACAGTATGCCAAAAGAGTATTATGTCCGAATACAGTATCAGCACTCGATTCCAAAAGCCTGGGAATTGAAGAATTGATTCTTTTTAGAATCAAATGGAACCCTCGTGAGAGAACCTTGGTGTAACAACCTAGCAGAATAAATGGGATGCTTAAAACATTCTTCTTGTTTTTTTTTTTACCTGTAGGGAGCGAGTGGCCAAATCCTGCACCTGCCGTGGGAGCCCTTCCTGCAGTCAGCGCAACTCTCTCCGCACCCTCCCACAAACGCACGCCATCGGAAGCGGACCGCTGGCTGGAGGAGGTGTCCAAGTCTGTGCGTGTCCACCAACCCGCCGGCGCCGTGAGAACCGACACGCCTCCCACTCAGCAACCCTTCCCCCCACCTTCTGCCCCCTTCATCCCTCCGCCTGCCCCTTCTGCCCCCTTCATCCCTCCGCCTGCCCCTTCTGCCCCCTTCATCCCTCCGTCCGCAGTCCCTGCCGTTCCCCCCCGCCAGCCGGCCTTCCCAGTATCCAACGGGATCCCCTTCATGCAACCAACATTCCCGCTAGTCGGCATCACACCTTCACAGATGGTGGCAAACGTGTTCGGATCCGCCACGCAAACCCAACCCATCCCGGTGCCTGTTCCAGTTCCCCAGTCCTCCCCGTTCTCGACACCACCACCCGCGCAGTTCGACACCCAAACCGTGTCCAGCCCCTTCGGAAAACCATTCCTACCTCCGGTGTCCAACGCCACAGCATTGCAGCCTCCCAAAAGCAGTGTGGCTTTTAACGGGGCGAGCAACTGGGCGGCTCAGTCTAATGCAGTTCAGCATCCAGCCGATGCCTTCGAGGCCCAGTGGGCCGCACTGGAGACCCGCTCGCAACAGCGCACCGCTCCTTCGCCCACAAACCCCTTCTCCAGCGAGCTCCACAAGACCTTCGAGATCCAACTCTAAAGACACACAGCGTGGCCGAGAGTCACAGAGCGACACGATGAACATTAATGCAGAGACGACTATAGAGTGAACGACCCGAAACCACTTCAGCTTCATCTCTCTCTCTCTCTCTCTCTCTCTCTCTCTCTCTCTGTCTTTCAATTTCTTTGCCTGTTCGTCCATGTTTTGGTTTTTGCTCGTGACATGAACAAATGGAGACGTGGGGGTTGATGAAGGTGCCCCCAAAAACGGTTACGCCGAATTTGTGTCCGAGATTAATCATAGCGACAAGATGGTGGTAAAAGGATTCTTTTGATGCTCTAATGCGACCCCTATATTATTTAGGACTCCCTGGGCCCCGACTGACCCGTCTCACAGCGCCCCCTAGCAGGCTGGATGAATGAATGCTCCCTATCAGAAGGACGAGGCACTTCGCAGACCTTCCGGGTTCACAAGGTTCTTGTAGAACTTCGCAATCAGAAGAGGAAGAAGCAAAGAGAATGCCAAAATCTTTATTTTTATGCATTAAGTATATTTTAAATAGCTTTGAAAAATTAACTGAAGAGCTGTAAATAATCTTTCCAAAGGTGCAGGCTTATTTTGTGTGCATACAGGAAAAGAGCAAATATATACATATATATATATATAGGCGTGAGGGATGGTTTTCATCTCTTTCTTTATTCGGTTTTAGTCTTCTGGCCACCATGCATATAGTTTGGGATGTTGTAGATAATGGAAATGGACCCCGGCTGGGTTTGAGGACCTTTTAAATCACACAGGTCCCAGACGACGTTATCTGTCTTTCATGCTGTCATTTTAAGCTTTTTTTTTTTGTACTATAGTATCAGTACTTTGATTTATATTGCAACATATTATTATAGTTTTTTTTTAGCACATTTTTAATGAATTTTAACACTATTGAAAATGTCATCTTTTATTTTATTCCGATAAGAAGATATCTTATTCATGTTAGCACAAGCACTGTACTAATCGATCATTTGGCCACCTGTGGGATTAGTGCGCTACGATGTTCACTCTCTTGAAATGACCTGTGGTTCCAACTCTGATATGATTGCAGTGACTTTTTTAATTTTTTTTCATTCTCTGCTTTTCATGCAATTCCACTTTTGTTTTATCAGACATGAAGATGATTGGCCCTGTTTTTAGGTTTTGATTCCATTTTGTAAGTATTGCATTGTATTATTCCAATTCTTTACGAAAAATTTAATCTAAAAGATTAAATAAAATGTTGGTGGTAGAGGAAAGCGGTTCTGTGTGCTTCTGTTCCATGATTTGCTGTGTATTCTTGTATCTGTAAACATTGTTTTGCAACTTAATAAACTTATTCATAAGATGAACTGCATGCTCTTGCTCAAGGGAAGCAGAAGAGATGCTTCTGAAACTCCATCCACAGGTCTCCAAGTTGGACAGTATCACCTTTTAAAAAGATTAATTTATGAATTATTCTATGCTATGAATTAATATATTTCACCTGCACACGAGCAGGGACAGCAAGTGCACGTCGAGTGCATTATTTGGGAAAAGGGCCGACTGTTACTCAAGTCACTCCCATTTCCAATTTATATTGAATGGGTAAAGAAAGGGAATTGATGGCATGATGTTCTCTAACTGGTCAAGTATGATGAGATTTTCTTATTTTCTATTGTCTATCACTGTAATTTCAGTTCAATGACTATTAAATTCTTTCCGTATTATTCAGGTGTAAATTATTGTCCACCACTGCTGATACAGACATGCTCATGTCATTTTTTAACAACTATTAAAATATTGTTTAAATCATTTTAAAGGGGGTAAATGTCTATTTACATGCCATTGCATTACTCACTTTGCACAAACATGTTGACCTTTCTGGAGGACGAATACTTAATGTGTTATTCAACAGATGTTTGAAAAATATGTCTTTTCTTATGCTCTTTTACAAACCCCTTTTAAAAGCTTTTATTGAAGATGCCTCAGGAAATCATTGCAAGTTGTTCCATTTCACAAGATGTAAACAACACTGGTCCAGAAGCACTTCCTGTTTCAGGTTTTTAACACTACATAAAAGCTGGGATAAAATACAACCAACAGAACATTTAAAACTGAATCAAAAAGTTAAACAAACATCTTTAAGATGTTTTCTTTACATGTGAAATAAAGAAAACAGTCACAAACTGAAACAGGAAGTGCTTCTGGACCAGTGTTGTTTACATCTTGTGAAATGGTCTATACAGGCTAAATGCATGCAAATAAAATGACTATAGATGCATTACAGTAATTGATAAGTGCCTGATTTTCTGCAAATGATTTTAAAAATGGCTAAAAGGATGCAAAACAGCATTCATTTTCGTTATGCACAGTGTTTTTGTGTTTGTTTTTTCCGGTTGAGAGATGACGTTTTCTTGAGATGTTGCAGTTGCGCTTCTCCAGCATCGGTGGCGCTGTGGTGTGGATGATTTCTGCGAGCGCTGATTAAATCAAATCAGCGAAGAAGATGCGCTGCAGCTGTTAATCATAAGAGTGTGTGACTGAGTGGTAATTTTCGCTCATTATACTGACATCTATTCAGTCTTCAGGTACGTAAGCCCTCTGCAACAGTCATACGAATGACATGTTACATACATAGTGATTTAATTGGATGTGTGTGTCCTAACAATCCGTTAGAATGAAGTACTGCACCTTTGACACAAACACACTGAAATTAAAGTCGTCAATTCGTTGCACTATGATTCATTAAAACACTGTTGTGCCAGGTTTGGTCGAAATGCTTCTGCTTTTAAATAACGTTTAGTCGTAAATGTTTTCACAAACGCACAGTAGGGTTTTAAAGAGTAATATGTTCTAACGTTACACTAAATAATTAAGAAGTGTCAAGGCAGGTCGTTTAATAGTGTTTACACGAAACAAGTTGTCATTTTGTGTTCTGCACAATAATTTAACGCTAGCAATTCATGTTTTCTGCCGAAATCTCACAGTCATGAGTCATGACAATAAAACTGCTGTAACTTTGTGTTAGCCAGTGCTGTTAACAACAACAGCAACGTCAAAAACATTTTAATAAAAGAAAGATTTTGAATTTATGTTTTTGATGTTGTAGGAAATGATGGTAGACTAATATAGCCTTGCTTGGGTTCGTTTATGGGCTCGTTAATGAAATAAATGGGAGGAAACATGCTATCAAAATACAAGCTAATGGGGCAAAAAAAAAAAAAAAAATGCTGAGATTTGTATAGCCATGATTTGTACACGAGCAAGAATGCTGTTTTCCAGAATATCTGCACAATTGCTTACTTTACTGAACTAAACTAAAAGTTAGCTAAATTTTAGGCACAATATTGTTCGTCTTTATTTATTTATTTATTTATTTTTTGTAGTTCACAAATTTGGCTTCTGCAAGTGAAAAACTTTGTTGTTTCATTAGTGAATGAATCTGGTTGATACTGATTTAATTTCAGTAATTGAAATGTTATCTTGTTGTTGTAAATGAATTGTATTGATCAAATGTAAGAATCTGTTGTAAAAGATGATGAATGTTTTTAAGGGGTGGTATGATGCCCTTTTCACAAGATGTAAAAAAAAGTCTCTGATGTCCCCAGAGTGTATATGTGACGTTTTAGCTCAAAATACCCCATAGATATTTTTATATATCATGTTAAAATTGTCACTTTTTGAGGGTTAGCAGAAACGCTTCATTTTTGTCTGTCCCTTTAAATGCAAACGAGCTGCTGCTCTCAGCACAGGGGGCGGAGCTGAAGTGTCAACGGGCTCTCACGCGTTAACATAAACAACTCAGCCCATCAGTGATGGTTTGTTATTCTGCCTCTAGAGGGTGCTCTCGCTCTGTGTAATGACTGCGCACACTTCTCAGCCGCTCCAACAACGGATGCAACCCGGAAGAACTATCGGTGTGGATTTTTGCAGATAACGATAGTTCCACCAATCAACCGCAACCGATGTCGAACACACCTAATGAGGTTCATTCTCATGTGTTACGCATCACGTTTGAGCTTCAAGAAGCAATGAGGTTCATTCTCGTGTTACGCATCATGTTTGAGCTTCAAGAACCAATGAGGTTCATTCTCGTGTTACGCATCACGTTTGAGCTTCAAGAACCAATGAGGTTCATTCTCATGTGTTACGCATCACGTTTCAGCTTCAAGAACCAATGAGGTTAATTCTCGTGTTACTCATCACGTTTGAGCTTCAAGAACCAATGAGGTTCATTCTCGTGTTACGCATCACGTTTGAGCTTCAAGAACCAATGAGGTTCATTCTCGTGTTACGCATCACATTTGAGCTTCAAGAACCAATGAGGCTCATTCTCGTGTTACGTATCATGTTTGAGCTTCAAGAACCAATGAGGCTCATTCTCGTGTTACGCATCACGTTTGAGCTTCAAGAACCAATGAGGTTCATTCTCGTGTTACGCATCACTTTTGAGCTTCAAGAACCAATGAGGTTCATTCTCGTGTTACACATCACGTTTGAGCTTCAAGAACCAATGAGGTTCATTCTCGTGTTACGCATCACGTTTAAGCTTCAAGAACCAATGAGGTTCATTCTCGTGTTACGCATCACATTTGAGCTTCAAGAACCAATGAGGCTCATTCTCATGTGTTACGCATCACATTTGAGCTTCAAGAACCAATGAGGTTCATTCTCGTGTTACGCATCACATTTGAGCTTCAAGAACCAATGAGGCTCATTCTCATGTGTTACGCATCACATTTGAGCTTCAAGAACCAATGAGGCTCATTCTCATGTGTTACGCATCACATTTGAGCTTCAAGAACCAATGAGGCTCATTCTCGTGTTACGCATCACGTTTGAGCTTCAAGAACCAATGAGGCTCATTCTCGTGTTACGCATCACGTTTGAGCTTCAAGAACCAATGAGGTTCATTCTCGTGTTACGCATCACTTTTGAGCTTCAAGAACCAATGAGGTTCATTCTCGTGTTACACATCACGTTTGAGCTTCAAGAACCAATGAGGTTCATTCTCGTGTTACACATCACGTTTGAGCTTCAAGAACCAATGAGGTTCATTCTCGTGTTACGCATCACGTTTAAGCTTCAAGAACCAATGAGGTTCATTCTCGTGTTACGCATCACATTTGAGCTTCAAGAACCAATGAGGCTCATTCTCATGTGTTACGCATCACGTTTGAGCTTCAAGAACCAATGAGGCTCATTCTCGTGTTACGCATTACGTTTGAGCTTCAAGAACCAATGAGGTTCATTCTCGTGTTACGCATCACGTTTGAGCTTCAAGAACCAATGAGGTTCATTCTCGTGTTACGCATCACTTTTGAGCTTCAAGAACCAATGAGGTTCATTCTCGTGTTACGCATCACATTTGAGCTTCAAGAACCAATGAGGCTCATTCTCATGTGTTACGCATCACGTTTGAGCTTCAAGAACCAATGAGGTTCATTCTCGTGTTACGCATCACGTTTGAGCTTCAAGAACCAATGAGGATCATTCTCGTGTTACGCATCACGTTTGAGCTTCAAGAACCAATGAGGCTCATTCTCGTGTTACGCATCACGTTTGAGCTTCAAGAACCAATGAGGTTCATTCTCATGTTACGCATCACTTTTGAGCTTCAAGAACCAATGAGGTTCATTCTCGTGTTACGCATCACGTTTGAGCTTCAAGAACCAATGAGGTTCATTCTCGTGTTACGCATCACTTTTGAGCTTCAAGAACCAATGAGGTTCATTCTCGTGTTACGCATCACGTTTGAGCTTCAAGAACCAATGAGGTTCATTCTCGTGTTACGCATCACATTTGAGCTTCAAGAACCAATGAGGCTCATTCTCATGTGTTACGCATCACGTTTGAGCTTCAAGAACCAATGAGGTTCATTCTCGTGTTGCGCATCACATTTGAGCTTCAAGAACCAATGAGGATCATTCTCGTGTGTTGCGCATCACATTTGAGCTTCAAGAAACAATAGGTGTGTTCGACATCACCTGTGGCTGGATGCAACCGATCGGCGAGAATAGCAGGCAGGGAGGAGCTGCAAACGGGAGACGTGAATGAAATTCAGAAAATGTGGACTGAACAGATCAATTCATGTAGATTAGTTTGACTATCTTTTCATGACCGTTTTGAAGAGTCAAAGTGGTCGTTGCATAGACTGTCAATGGAGGGACAGAAATCTGAATTCATTCAATCATTCATTTTTTGATGAACTAACCCTTTAATCAGACTATTAATACGCTAATGACTGCTTGTTGACACTAAGACCCCATTTACACCTGGTATTAAAATGCGATCTGTATCCAGATAAGTTATCCGGATAATAAAAAACGCATGTTAATGCAAGGTGTAAACGCGTTGTGATCGGATCTGCCTGACCACATCTGGAGGTAGTCTGGCTCGCATTGTGTCCGGATCTTTACTAGGTGTAAACGCAATCTGGTTGTTGAAACCACATATGTATATTTTACTCCTCCCAAAAAATGCAAATAAACGAGTGAGAGCGTGTTATATAGGCAATATGTCATAAATAGTCAGATATGACGGCGCTACTGCGCAGATGAGCAGCTGAGCGTCTATTCATCAAGCCAACGTGCAAACATCGCAAATAAAAGTGAAAGTAAGTCACAGACGCTTAACACACAATCATCTTCAAGTAAAGAAATGAAATTATCTTACCAGGGCTGTTGCCACTCTCTCTTATTGATGTCTTTGATTTGGAAATTAGCTGATAATCAATAAAATGCAGCTCATATCTGTTGTTTTTGGTGGCGATGCAATCCATTAAATCTGCATATAACGTGGGAGTTTAAGATCGGGTTTATATCCGTTTTGCAAAAACACATTTATGTGGCCAGGTGTAAATGGAATCGGTACTAATTATCCGGATAACTTGATCGCATTTTAATACCAGGTGTAAATGGGGTCTTAGTTGCGAACTTGTTTCAAGGCTTGCTTCAAAAGAGGTCTACTGAAATAGTGTTGTTATTTTCAGTTTCAGGTGGGAGTTGGTGCAGCTGCAATGATGTCCAAGCAGAGCACATGGACTGCAGCAGTGGCCACTATGTTAGGAGCCACTCTCGGTGGTCTTTTCCTCTGGCGCAGCATCCGCACTCAAAAGAAAAAGGCCCTCAATGGCCCCTCTTCGGCTGAGCCTGTACAAGCCCAGCTAGAAGTGGAAATCATCCCCTCACCAGAGTCGTCGGCACCACCACAAACCCAGAAGCCTCTGCGTGCACAAACACTGTTAGAGGTGCCGCCCGTGGTCGTGAGTTCTCTAGACGAGTGGGAAACGCTTTGGCCTGCGTTTCAAAAGGACCTTTCGATTTGTCCGGTTTTGGGCTTGGACTGTGAATGGGTAAAAAGTGTGCGTGTAAGCATGGCTCTGAATGCGACCACATTAGGGCTGCACAATATATCGAAAAGATATGCACAACAGCTAGCAATAACTGGGATCATGAAGAAAAGACGAAGAGAAAATCACTCGCTGCTCTTGGCTGAATAACTTGTGTAGCTTTAATAAGAATCAGTATAATTCATTCAGTGAAAATTAAGCCGTGTTTCATTTTCGCATTTGATAATTCAGTTCATTCTGTTCAACTGATGTTAAAATAACACTTACTACTTGTGCTACAGTAAAACACTGCTGCTCACTTTCAGAAGTAGGGATTGTAGGCATGCTTTCTTCTCACTAAAACACATATTTAGGTTTTAACTTGAAATGTATTTTGAAGATATTCTAAGCTTATTTTGCACGCTTTAAGCATTATTGTATCAAATTATTTGATTTTATTGCATGTCACATTTTTCTTCAATATCGTGCAGCCCTAGACCAAATGTTAATGTCTTGGTAGCATCAGTGCTTTCCTTCACTGGATGTCGTCTGCTTCCACAGGTGTCGGTCAAAGGCAAGGCCTGTGCGGTGTCTTTACTTCAGATGGCGACGTTTTCCGGCCGCTGTATGCTGGTCAGACTGCTGACGTTTCGTAACGCGCAGATTCCTCTACCGAAGGCTCTCGTGGGGGTCCTGTCTGACCCCTCTGTGCTGAAGGTCGGGGTGGGATGTTATGAGGATGGGAAACGCTTGACCCATGATCATGGTCTGACTCTGAGATGCACAGTGGACCTCCGTTATCTTGCACTCAGACAGAAGTAAGGCCTCAATTTGATACTACAATCTTTTTTTTTACCAGTCAATTTATTAATAGAGCACTAATTAAAGGGGTGGTGTAATGGCCTTTTCACAGGATGTAAAATGAGTCTCTGATGTCCCCAGAGTGTGTATGTAAAGTTTTAGCTCAAAATACTCTACAGATATTTTCAGATATCATGTTAAAATTGTCACTTTTTGAGGGTGAGCAAAAACGCACCGTTTTTGTTTCTGTACCTTTAAATGCAAATGAGCTGCTGTTCTCGGCACAGGGGGCGGAGCTTCAAGAGCTTGTGTCCTTTCCAATTTGAGCGTTCTAACTTTGCAGATGTTTATCAGTCCCTCCAGGATTTCACGATTTTTTTTTTGTCATTTTTGCGATCAAAATGACTGATTTTGTGGTGGTAATTTTCAAAAATTTGTGAAAAAATTTGCGATTTATATATAACATTTACCATAATAGTATTCAGTTCTTCCAGAAAAACGCAGAGTTTTTTTGTGATTGTTGCGGGCAAAAATTGATTGATTACGCGGCCCGTTTTCTCTAAAAATGCGATGGAATATGCGGGATATTTATGCAATTTTATGCGATGAAATTGCAGGAATTTGCAAAAATTGAGGGAACATTTTTCAACTTTCTGCTAAGATACATGTGACTTTTTTTGCAACGAAAATGCGAGGATTATGAAATTATGCAAACCCCGCATATTTTGCACGGAAATCGGCATATTATGCGGCAAAAGTGCGGCGTATTTGAAAAAATGTGCCCCCGCATAAATATGCGGACTTTGGCTGATTTTGCATTGAATTCAGCGATCGCATAATCGCGTTTTTCTGGAGGGACTGATTTATGCTCAAACAGCAACATTACACACTAACTGAAGTTAGAAAAGGGAAATCATAATCAACAACCCCTTTCAAACGACACTAGCTGACCATTGTGCTCTACATCATCATCAAACATGTAAGGGTTAATGCCCGACGAGGTGTCCATTGTCAGGTTTTAATGGACGAAGCGGCGTCCGGTTCACGCCTCGCCGTCGTCCATTAAAACCTGACAATGGACACCTCGTCGGGCATTAACCCGCTTATACCATGGTCACTTGCCAAATAAAACATTTTTAAAACATTAGCTGCAAGTTTATATTTTAATTAGGCTAAATCAAATTTTTCAAATAATAACTCGCCTGGTTTATTTAGCAACCGCAGATATTTATAGTCCACTCAGCTTGTAGAACCTTTTTTTTTTTTTTCATGAAACACAAAGGTAGGCATAGTTATTTTTTTTTTAATTACACATAAAACAATTAATCAAACAGGCTTCTTAGGCTTGAAACGCTGTACTCTCCTCCTGCCTTGGTTGTCTGGACTGCTGCGTAAAACTCCCGCAGGTCTTATTCAGAGCAGCAGCGGTGTAATTTTCTTTGCGACGTTTCTTCGTTTTATTTACATTTCTTCTTTCTTCAGCAGCATCCCAGTCGTCGAAGTTGTCATATTCTCCATAAATGTTAAAAAGAAATAACGAAGTCGTTCATTGTTGTATTAGTAGGCTATGTAATATCTAACTAACGTTAGATGTTTGTTTTGATAGAGCAAATTGTTAACGGATACTTAGACTGCCTGTTGCTATGGTTACTCACAGCTGTTGTGGGCAGCGCATTTATTTATTCATTTCGAATGGTAAACAGGCAGTTTCACCAGAACTACTTTACTAGGTGTCCTCTTATCACTTTTTAACGGACACCCTGTAGCCAATCAGAATCGAGTATTCACCCAGACCATGGTATAAGCATGTAATAAAAACAACATTAAACCAGAGCTGCACAATTAATCGTTTAAAGATCGCGATCTCGATTCAAACGCCCACGTGATATAATTTGAAATGTCAACGGCTCTGTCTATCAAACCTTTTACAAGTATGATCACAACGAACATTCAGATCTGGGATAAAAGTTTATAGTTCGGATAACAAAGATGAGTTAAAGTCAGTTGAGATTCTCAGTTTATTCAGAACCGTGCAGCTCTACATCAGATCATACGTTAATAATCAGGAATACAAGAAAACAACTGGATTTCTAACTCATAAACCATTTCAAATATGTAAGTTTTAAGTTGAGATTTGTATTCTGCCTCTATCTATTAGGCCTGCGCGAATCACAATTAGCTTAAATTAAACCAAAATTGTGATTATGGCTTACTGTGATTTTATTAAATCATAAAGGCTGAGATTAATTAAACACATGCTCTCCTTGTTTCAGTGTTTCCAAAATTATTATAATTTAATAATACTACTTTTTTTTTATTTTACTGTTTATTATAATTGTAATATTTCTCATTTTGTTTTATTATACAGAGCTTATAAGCTCAAAGTAATCGGATCGCAATTAAAAAAAAAATGGCCCTAGTTTTGCATTTATTTAAATATGGCTTTATACAATATAGATTAATAACAGAACAGGAAAATAACAGTGTGTTATATTATAAAATTATTCAACTGAGTTCAATAAGCAGCTCTACAGAAGACAAGTGTCTTTATTCTGCTCAATTTAGTTTAGTGACTCAATTCAGTTCAGTAACTGTCTGTTGTAGAGTTAGTGTAAATATTTCAATTGAGTTGAAATGTTCAGATGTTTAAGCTGAGTGTTGTTGACAGGTGTTAAAGTCATGATTTCAGTAAGTCTGTAAGGCTTGAGATGGCCTACGGGGTGACCTGAGGTGTGATGTTGACTGTGTTGAAGGCAAGCGGTGCTGAATAACGGCTTGAGCCTGAAGTCTCTGGCTGAAGACCTGCTGAATATCTCGCTGGACAAATCTCTGGAGCTGCGCTGCAGTGACTGGGAGGCAGATGTGTTGACCCAGGAGCAGGTGAGCAATAAAGCTTAGGTCTCACACACTCTTCACCTGGGGACCAGGGCCGCATTAACCTCTTAACTGTCACCCCCCCTTTTTTGAATAGACATGAAAATGCACATTTCGAACTTAAATGGTTGTAATTCAAGAATGCTTTGGAATATAGACATATGATTGGTCTTGTTTTAAAGAAGACATTTGGCAGATTTTTGTAGAAGTGAAATAAATTAAAAAAGTGAAACAGAAAAAAAGTTATAGAAGTTTGAGTTTATGGAAATGTACAATGTAAAAATATTAATTATTCATATTTTACATAAAATATATATTTTCAAAACCTGGGCTACTCTAAAACGGCAGAAAGATCAAAGCCAAAAATCTGAACAAGTTGTGTTTCAAATTTTAGGTTGATATCTCAAAAAATGAGCTTTCAGTAAGATTTTGTTTGAGCGCAGTACCAAACTTTTTCACTAGGGCACAATCAGACTCCATTACTGCCCATATAAGGGCGCCTGCATTTCCATTCGTGTTTTGAGTGATATGAACCATTATTTTCACAATTTTCATACAATTTCTGAAGTAGAGATCCTATTCAGAAGTAGTATGGGAAGTTTGGCAGATTTTGAAATGAATTGAACCTCTAAGAAACACATACAAAGAACACGCATGTAAGTCATAGCTAGCTGCCACGTCACAAATGGTGAATTTATTATTTTTTTTCTTGATATTTCAAAATTTTCAGACCTTTTTTTCCAAAATAATTGAATGGATTCTATCTTTTGAACTTTTGGCATGAAAACAAACTGAGGTTTCTACCATTTTTTCATGTTTTTTTCATGTTTACTGCTATTTTAAAATAAAGGTCTGAACACGCCTTATGAGTATGAAAATATTCTTGTTGCATATTGATAAATTATGGCTTCTCTGTAATATATTTTGAAAATCAGTCACCAAATATGGAAACTAGAGATTGTGAGCTTTCAAATGATATATAGTTTGCCAATATTACTAAAGGTATTTACTAAGATATTATTGTTTTAAAAATATAGTGGCAAACGTCCCACCTGTGGGACGGTGAGGCCCTGTCCAAACAGAGACGTGTTTAGCTGTTTACATACAAATGTTGTATCGTATTGGCGTTTCGTCCAGAAACTGGCTAAATCTAAAACGACTGGATAAATCTGAAACGACACCCTTGCGTTTTCGTGTGTACGGCCAATCCATACATTTTGTGAAACGGAGCATTATGGTGCGTTCATGTGCTATGGTAATTATGGTAAATGGTAAATGCCAAAAGCTGATGTGGAAAATGCACATGAACACCCCCTCATGTGGTATTTTCCACTGGGCAGCTCGTAGAATATATATATTTTTTTTGATGAGAACCTTTGACCTTTTCAAAATGGCAGATAGCAACGCGAAAGTCGTGAATGGTAAAAATGTGTACTATTCATGATCTAGAAAATATACAGCATTTCCAATCAAATTTCTAGGGCGGGCTTTATACGATGATGGACAGATGATCTGCAGTTACGTAATCATCACGTTATCAAAGAGCTAAGAAAATGGGACGCAATGAAAGCCCTGTGGTCGTTGTGGTTTCTCCTTTGGTCGCACTCATGGAAGACCAAGTAAAAGAAGCAACACTCATTATTTCACTACTTCTTCCAACGTGCGTGTAATTGATTTTTGTTGACAACTATGTGTAGCTCAACATGTGTCACTTACTGTGTTGCTGTGTTGATTGGTTGTAGGTCTATCCAATTGATTGCAATTGGGTTTTTTTTTTTTTTTTTTTTTTTCTGGTTCGGTTAAGACAAGCCTCATAATCAAAGCCTTGTGGAGCAGCATCAGACTAGATACTGCCCATACTAGCTGCTCATTCTGACTAGAATATGAGTATGACAAAGTCAGGCTACAATAAAACCTTCATGTATACAAAATTTCACTTGAACATCTGTACGTGGTGTCCAGCTAATGTTCAAAATCTAATTTAACCTAACACAGGAGATTCAAGCATGTCTTTGCGCCATTACATCGCATCTGCAAACACACATAAAGCAGGAGTCTCTGCTAGTATAAGCTATGTTGTGTGTGAGGATGTTGGAGGTGGAGATTTATAGCCTTTTCTCACAGCACTTGATATCATTAAACATTAATTTGATGGCGGATCCAGAAAGGTTCAAACGACAATCATCAGTGACAACTAGATTTTCACCCGCTGAAAAATTCGCCCCAATGCGAAGGCAAGAATAAATATCGGAAGGGCTTTAAATGTAGTAAAGCTGATGTTGTTAACATGAACAATTTGACAAAGCCCGGTTTGACGTGATAGGCGATTGTTAGATTTAATCAGCACGATTTACTGCAATACTTTTTTTCCCTTAGTTGATCAGAACAAAAGTGGATGTTTCTTATTAGTTCAGATGACATTTTCCGGTGAAAATTAACAGATGGCGACAAAGAGGAAAAACTGCAGACTGCAGCTTTAATAAAGATTGTAACCAATGTATTGCTCATAGTTAGTTAATACATGAACTAATGTTAACTAATGAACCTTACTTTGAAGTGCTACCACTATGTCTGTATTGTCTCATACTGTATCCACCAGATGACCTATGCAGCACACGATGCCCAGATCTCCATAGCCCTGTTCCTCCACCTGCGGGGGATGAGCAAAGAGCCCCGTGTGCCCGCTGAGGGTGAATCGGCGCTCGTCCCGCTGCTAGCCTGCTGTCAGGGACTGGTGGATGTGCCGTTTAGGGAACGCCATAGTGCTGGAGAGGGGGAGGAAGGGGAGAGGCGACGGCGGAGCCGAAAGTCCACAGTGGAGAGTCCTGAGTCTGGAGACCAGCAAGTTCCAGACCCACGGCGAAACAAACGCAAACCACTGGGCATTGGCTACTCGGCCAGGTGATGAAGGAACTGGTAGCTTTTCCTGCAATTTGTCACGATAGAAATGCATCCGAGTAAAGATAATGAAATGTACGACTAATCTTTCAAAATGGTGTTGTGAAACGCATCCAAAATAAGTGTGTGTACACTGTGTAGAATTATATTGTGTATATATAAATGCACACACATGCATGTGTACATTTAGAAAATTGTTATATGAAATAGTGTACACGCATATATTATTTTGGATGCTATTAATAGTTTTACAGCCCTACAAATCTCTTGCAATCTCTTGTTTTAGATATTTGGTTCAAAACGTTTAGGGCATGCTGTGACTGTTGATGTGCTTTTTGTCTTTATTCAGGAAATCCCCCCTTTATGATAACTGTTTCCTTCATGCTCCTGATGGTCAGCCACTCTGCACATGTGACAAGAAGAAAGCTAAATGGTACCTGGAAAAGGGTATAGGAGGTACACAATCTTATAAATGTGGACATTATAAATGCATTTCCCCCCTCACTTTGTGTAATAATGCAGGATGAGAGTGTTACAAAGCAGCTTATGATAACAATGAAAAAGAAATTACAGTGTCTGTTACATATTACATGTACTTGTGTAGTAATAACAGTAAATATGTGAAATGTCATGCAACTAAGCCTATAGTATGTTAATTAATATTACTCTGTAATTAAATGTATAATGGGCTTTATGCACACCTGCACTACTTCCTGAACTTCAGCCAGCTCCTTGTTTCCTGTCTGCCATTATTGGCCAAATTGATTAATTCAGGTGTACCTGACCTCAGTAGTCATGGCAACAATAATCAGACACACCTGAGTTAATCAATTTGGCCAATAATGGCAGACGGGAAACAAGGAGCTGGCTGAAGTTCAGGAAGTAGTGCAGCTGGGCATAAAGCCCATTAGTCTGTAACAAAGAGACCTTAAAATAAAGCATAACCGTTTATATTTTTACAATAATGTAATATTGAAGTGGGCCAGGATCCCCCAAAAAAGGGTTATGTTTTATTTTAAGGTGTACAGTGTAATTATACAATTAAGTATTGAGTAATATTAATTGGCATGTTCTTACTATAGGGTTAGAGTTAGGATTTGTTTAGGGTCAGTTGCTTGTAATTATGCATAATTTACTGTTATTACTACAGTAAGTACATGTAATCTGTAACAGACTGTAAAATGTAAAAAATGTAATTGGACAGTGGACGCTATTAACGGGGTAGTTATTGTTAGCTAAAACATGAAATTGAAATAAACATTAAATGAAATAACATTAAATTTTATTTCAGCTAGTTACCAAGGCAACATTTATAATTTTCATTGTTTAAGAACTAAACACAATATGAACTAATAAAGACATTTAAAACAAAAACAAAGACTAAAACTAAATAAATCATTTAATATTTTGTTTTCCATTTTATTTTTTATCAATGATACTACAATAACAGTGATCATTACAGTGAAAAAAACAAACATTCTTTAAAAATATTATCTAAAAGTGGATTTTATGTCAGTCTATCTTTAGTAATTTTTTAGAAAGTCTACAAGAAGTCAGATTTTTTTTTTCATATGCTTTTATTCGGTTACTAGGCAATACAAATATTAAGTTTTCACTGAAGAACACCATCTTTGCTAAGCAATATATTTGGGCGTTGCTCATAAATCCATTACATACACTAAATGTACACTTATTGATGCGTTCATTTTTATTTATTTTTTTTATTCATGGTTATTTTGAGCAAAATATCAACCATGGTAAATGTATATTTATAGCATTAATATAACATGATGTAAACTGAAGCTGGCACGGAGGTATGTATAAACTAAAGTCACTATGTCTGTTATCCGTTTATGAAGTAAGCTACATGTAGGATAAATATGTGAACTCTGATGCCATGTAATGCATCAGTCCAAATTCCTCACTTAATCTCATTCACTTCTTGCTTATATAGTGCACTAACAAGTGAGCGATTTCAGACACAGCAACTTCCAGTGAGAAGATGGCCGTATTAGAACAGTGTATTGACCAATTAGCGTTCAGGTTATAAATATCCTTTGTATAATGTCTAATGTAATTGTTAAATTATGATCTGTACATAATTTACTCTCAGAATTGGTCAGTGAAGATCCCTTCATCGTCCGGCTGCTGTTTGAGCCGTCAGGGCGTCCCGACTCGCAGAAAGACTATTACCTCACAGCCAAAGAGAATCTCTGTGTGGTGTGCGGGAAAGCAGAGTCTTACATCAGGTTTGTCTCATTTTTCCAGTAGAGTTATCACAGGTACTGAAATTTAAAGAATGTGAGGCGTGTTGAGTGAAATCATAAACACCTCTGATTGGCCATTGTGTTCATGCGCTCATCAGATATGTCTGTGATTGGCTACAATGATCGTATTTTGAAAGCGCGAGCATCCATCAGTGGACCTGTCTTGCTTTCAAACGCTCCCGAGTGTATCTGCATTGTATATACATTGATGTATAGTTACATTTTTGAAGCACTGATCATTGTAGCCAATCACAGACATATTTGATGAGCTTGTGAACACGACAGCCAATCAGAGGTGTTTATGATCGCACTTTTGACAACTAATTTACTGTGATTCTCGAGTTTGTTTTGAAAGTGGGACTCATCTGTTTTTCCGTTCGAACACAGGAAGAACATTGTCCCACACGAGTATAGGCGCCACTTCCCGGCTGAGATGAAGGACCACAACTCGCACGACATACTGCTGCTGTGCACCTCGTGCCACGCGGCCTCAAACGTGTACGACGGGCTCCTGAAGCAGCAGCTGGCCGAGGATCACTCCGCTCCGCAGGGCTGCGAGGAGGGCATTCGGCTGCTCGAGGACTCGGACCGGCGCAGGGTGCGCTCGGCCTCACGGGCTCTCCTCAGCTCCAGCAACGGCATGCCCCAGTCCAGAAAAGAGGAGCTCCTGTCGGTCATCCAGAGCTTCTATTGCAGCGGACAGCAGGAGGTCACGCAAGAGATGCTTCAGAAAGCTGCAGCGTTGGAGACCAGGTTTGACTCCTTTGCCTGTGTCTTCTTGGCCTAGCTTTTTTTGACCAGAAAAACACCCACATAATAGATGGATGGATTTTATTCGTCCTCGAGAGGACATTTGTTTCCATCCATAGATGCAAAAACACACACACATAACAGGTCATTTGGTCCGAGTCGTTTTAATGGACAGTAAGTGGCCGTCTTGCAGAAATGTAAAACAAACAGCTAAAATTAGTTTTAAATAGGGTTGGGTATCGTTTGAATTTGAACGATTCTGATTCCTTGTTTCGATTCCGGTTCCTAACGATTCTCGATTTCGATTCTTTTAAGAGTCCGGGTCAAAAAAGTTTAGCTAACCTTGCTAACCAACGGCCTTTCTGAAGGAAATACTCCTTCTGTCACAAATACTTGTCACAAATTTTGCATTTTGCCGAGATTTCGTTAATTTTTAGAAAAGTGAAGCCACACTTTGGACCGCCGACGTAAGCTACTCATGTTCGACTCGCGCGGTTATGCCAACACTTCCGGTAGACGCTTCTTCGTTGGTGTCGTCCAGCGGTTTCTTCTTCCGCTCGGTGGACTGTGAATATCGAAACTAGGAATTGAAATTTTAACTTTTGAACGATTCCGGGAAAAACGAAAAGTTAGTATCAGTTCCAATCGATACTCGATACCCAACCCTAGTTTTAAAGTACCCCATGATGCTATTTTAAAGGTTCCTAATTTAGTTTTGGAGGACTCTCACAATAGGATTACATGCATCCATCTAAACCCCTCCTTTTCAAGAGCCTCCTCTGCTCTGATTAGTCAGATGGCCCAGTCTGTTGTGATTGGTCGATCCATTACCATATCTGAATCTCCACTGGCGTGGAGTGTTTTTAGTTCATTCCTATGGAAGCTCAACTTTCATAAGAATTGATTGAAAACACTCACTCTGCTCTGCACCGTTATTTTACTTTCTCTTTCGAATTAGCACCCTTCCCCGGGGATATTGGTTTTCCTGGTGTTGTCACGCGTCGATTAACCGGCGGGAAAATGTCCTCTCAATCACGTCATCCCTACGATTGATTCACAGTGATACGAACAGTATATGGTTTTACCATATCAAATGCAGCACGACCCAAACTCTTCCAGACCTCAGATACAACTGCTCCGTTCGAGGGCAGGGCAAAGTAGATATTGCTCGTGAGTGGCCAATGGTATTGACTTGACTTTAAAGTTCTGACTTACCTAATTTGGATGTTGTTATTGCATATTTTAATTCATATCTGTCCCTCCTGCTGTTAAAACAACCCATAAACTGTCTATTACATTATGTATTTTAACAGTATTGTTCAATAAGAATACTTTTGACAGTATTGGGAAAAACCTGATTACTCGATTAATCCAAAAATATATTTAAAATACGTTTTTTTCTTAACTTAAGGGGTTTATTAGCCTGGTTAAAACCAGACCATTCTCAGTTTGTAAGCGAGTTAGGGTCTGGCAAAGCTTCATAGACAAATCATTTCCAAAGGGGCGTCACCAATGGACATAGCTCTGCATAGCTCACAATTGGATAGACCTAAAACCAATCAGAGCGCTGAAGTAGATGACGTTTGCAGAGCGACGTTCGTCTATTAGAATAAACAAGCAGACAATATGATTAGCTACTTGCTCTACGTTTATTTAAAATTAACAGCAAAACAACTATAAGTGAATGTGCTTTCCATTTATATAAATCACACACAGTAAACAAAACCTTAACAAAAAACTTCGCAATGAACTTTGCAATTTAGACACGCAAACTGCGTGCCGGTATGGTGAGACCTTACTGTCTATGGGTGAGACATGCTCGGGCAGATTCGGCTTGAAGTCGTTCATCCTCGGACGCGGCGGCGCTCCTGCACACAGCCAAGGGGAATGGGGTCGGCCTTGCGCACCGAACGCGTCATTTTTGCCGCGCACCTTCACGCTCGTGCGGACGCGTGGAGTATAAACAAGGCTTTACTCCGTGTCAGCACATGCTCTGATCGGTAAAGGTGCACAGACCTTTCCCGAATCATCTCCAGCAGTAGCAGCAGTCCCTGAAGCACCACTAACTCTGCCTCCGTTTCCCTCGTAAGCTGATATTAGCATTTAAACATTCTCTATGATAAAAAATGTTTGTGAAAAAAATATCCCTGTAAAGGCAATTCTACAAAAAAGTTCTAAACACATTATAAATGTTACATATGTATTGCTAAAACATATTACAAAGTCTGTGAACTGTGAAGTACTGAAATGTGGAGTTAGACCGTTAAACAGTTTTTCACCATTGCAATTTTACGGATTAATTGGGCGGGGCTAAAACAGGGCTCCTTGACGCACTGGAGCCCATGAGCTGCTGGACACCCCCCTATTTGATGACGCACAGAGTCTGATCTCCCCCTCTCCACACACACACACTCCCCGAACACATTCGCATTCACGGCTCAATCGCGAGTGACTGTCAGTAGTATTAGTTACTGCAGCTGAGCCTACAGTTTTCTAGCTATGACTTCGACACAGACATGCATAGGCTACTACCTGGATGCGATCATGTACAAAACAGATCTGTATCTTAAAGCTGTAGTATACGATGTTGAAAATCGGTCGAGAGAGCCTGAAACGGGAGGGAAGTTTTGAAAAACTCATCCCACCTCTCCACACACACACCCCTCCCCTCTGCTACCTGATCCCTCCCACAGGGAAACGAATTGAACAACGTCACTCAATCAAGTTGTCATCATCGGAACTGAGATGTACTCTGTGCAATGTCTGATTCTCGAACAGAAACCCGCTAGGCATACTGCAATATATTCAAGCACTTCAAGAAATATATTTATTTACTTTGAACCGTGATACAGGTGATGCTAAACAGCTAACATTCCAATGCCGACCGGCAGCATTAGCAAGTTTTCAGACTGATAAAAAGCTATTTATGTAACACGTCACACCATATAAGAGTACAAATAAATGTTTACCTGCTCAACAAAAAGTCAGCCGTGTCAGCGTCGGTCTTCAGTCCCAGAGCTCGCTGAAGTTTCCTCCATCGGTCAATGGTGAACCCTATATTTATCCTACTCAACTTTCGGCGTTCTTCACATTTTCTTTTCGTCTCTGCTTTTTCCTCAAACGACTTTCTCTTCTGTCCTAACTTTCTTGTAGGGGCAAGCAGGTGACGCTTGCTGATGTATTTTTCGTTGTTATCCATTGCTGTCTGATGTGCTACTTAGCTAGCTACCATGTGCGGTCACCTGCTAACGTGCGTGATTCTCATGACGCAGAAGGGGGGCGCGGTCGGGTGCGGTCGGGGTGGAGACTAGGGATCGACCGATATGGATTTTTTAGTGCCGATACCGATACCGATTTTTTTTCCCATCAGCCTTAGCCGATGACCGATACGGGCTGCCGATTTTCTTGAGCCGATATTTGGAGCCGATACATTTTGCTCCCTCAATTTACATCTTAAAAATAACATGATGTTAACAAATGTTACAGGTCTCAATTTAATAAAAGTAACATTTAACTAACTTCAAAAATTAATATTTAACAAATAGTAAAAACATGTGAGGTAGAACAAGAACAAGATAAACAATTTAAAAAATATTAAAAACATGAAGTAGAACAAAAAAAGTTCAGTGCTGAAAATAAATATTTAAGCATAAATTAAATAATTACACTATTGCACACAGTATAGCAACCAGCATAATAAAGTGCACAGTGCACACTGTACTTCATTTTAAAAGAAACGAACTATGTACTGCATGGTTTCAATTTTATAAAATAAAATGAGCATGTCTAGTCTCCAATATTACTGCGATTGCGAGGGAGACAAACTCCACACGCCCCAAACCTCAGCCAGGTGAGCGCTGAATAAATCTCCTACAAAAAGCACAGAATAACGTTGGCATTCCTTATTTCTATGACCAGAGTTCGTTACTGTATGCATACTAGGGCTGTCAAAATTCCTCAAATGGCGTTTGCATATTCCCTCTAAAAAACATTCGAACATCCCGTTGCGCGTTTTGTTGTTGACGCGCATTACATCAGGACACATTAATAAAAAGAGACATAACTACTAGTATTAGATGGTTTATTTGAGTTTAAACATATTTGACAACGTATTAAAAAGCAAGTAAATCAACTAATGGCCAAGACCGCAGAGCTCACTCTGTCTCCCCTGGACTCGCTCAGGCACTCTCTCTCTCTCTCTCTCTCGCCCTCACGGTCTCTGCGCGTCGGTTAAATGAACAACAAACAAATGTTGAGTGCTAAACAAGAGTTTTGTGCAAGCAATTTAAGGTTGCGAGTCGCGACTCTTGTCCCAAATATAGCAGGCTTCATTCAGTGATTGAAGTTTCACAGAACCGACAGTGAGCGCTCCGAGCGAGCTGTGGTAACGTTATTAGTCTGCAACCGCGGGCGTGTTTTTCCACATTCAAATATTAATTTTCACCTTCAAAATTAATAGATATTCGAATGTAGAATATTCATAGACAGTCCTAATGCATACTGAACGGATAACCTACACCTTAACTATTTGCAGCTTCTTAATACAATGGCAAGCAGTTAAGTTTTATAGACGAGGCATTCGCGTTTTCCATTTGGACCCACAAACTTGCTTAGTTGCAAGCACATAACAGTTATAGGGCGACGTGTTTCCATTTTCAAAGTGTTTGACAATATTTCAGGAGTCAAACATTTAAAAGATCCTTTGAAAGTTTAAGTTACCATTCTCGTGAAGAGCAGGTTGCACTCTGCTAGTGGAGGAGGGCGTGGCACGTGAACTGCAGCATCTCCAGCAGCACGGAGCTGCCCGTGGCCGCCTGTCTATAAATAACGGCGGGAAAAAAAAAACTATCGGCGAACGCGCAGCGGTGTATCGGCCGATTCCGATACACGTAAAAACCTCAAATATCGGCCCGATATATCGGCCGGCCGATATATCGGTCGATCACTAGTGGAGACGCGAGCTCCAGGCGGAGTTTCAAGTTTAGCTGGTGATTGGATGAGAGCAGTTGACCAATGTAGCTTTGCGCTCGCAAAGCTTCCATTGGTCAACTTTTATGTGGCTGTACAGCCAATAGAGTGAATGGATTTTTTTCGTTCTTTTTTCTATTTATATTGTTAGGATTATACTATATAACCATAAACAGCATCTAAACGAGGATATTAATAATGAACAATCTTTGAAATCGTATACCCTAGCTTTAATTTAAATTCCCCTAAAAACGATCACATCAAGAAGAGGTTTTTAGAGCTTATACCTTGATGAAGAGCCTCTGTACCTCTGTAGTGATCGTTTTACACTGGATCGTTTTATAAACTTTCCTCAGAGACAACTTGGATTCACTGATAATCCGCTGTTACTGGTGAACGGGGCCGAAATGACGATCTCCCGCCTCAGTGTGTTCATCCTCCCGTCTCCAAAAGCTAATCAGCTAATATCACCGTCAACAGCTTTCCCGTGAGTGGGCGTGGTTTCAGCGCAGCCAGTGGACACGCCCCCAGCGTTTCAGAGCAGAGAATCTGCTCATTTTTTCATGATTTTGATTATCATTCAAATTTGGCTGGGTGGCTAATAACACATTTTTCTGTGGTATGACAGACTCAGAACACATACTTAATTTTGACTTTACAGGGACTTTAATAACATGGTTTTGGCAGTTATAGAGTTCTAATGACGGTGTTCAACTATAACCGTCACACCCCTTTGTGAATGTACAAAATCTGCTTCACCGTCGCTGTGCTGTCGTCATCGTGTAAAGCCCATCCCAACGTTTCTGATTGGTGCCGTGATTTCGGCAGATTGGAAATGGTCTTGAATGAGCTGTTTGCCAGACTAACTTGTAGAGCAAATCTAAATTTGCTGGAAGTTGTCTGGGTTTTCCCAGGCTAGGGGTTTATTGCAATCAGGCTCTGGTCTCTAGATCAAAAGTGTGTGTCCCTAATTTAAAGTTCCCCTGTGGTGAAAGTCAAGTTTTTAATGTTTTAATATGCTTTAATACAAACCATATGCAAATGAAGTCAACACCATTGCTGAGTATTTACTCTTTAAAACTGCAGAGAAAAAGCCTCAACTCAGTTTGAAATCACCGGTGTTTCTTACATCATTAAACTATCTTGTAAGACCAATCAGATCAACGTGCAATCCTTAACTATGCAATGAAGCAGGGGAGTCTCAAAAGAAGAGGGGGACTTGCGTACATCCAGGGAATGTTTTCCAGTTTTAATGTAAATCATTGTAATATTGACCAGTTTTATTTTGCGCTGAGGCAGTAACTGCATAAACATTAAGCAACTGTTAAAATGGTACACTTGAATTGGGTGTTTTCTTACAATACAGTACAGATACATTTCTGAACACCAGATCTTTGTGTTGTCATATGTGAATGTCCTTACGAATGTGAAGATTTGGACTGAGGGGGCTTTCGAGTTCTGAAAGTCGACGTGTTTTCTACCCTTGCAGGATCTGTAACGAGAGTTATGTTCCACATGGACTGAAGGTAGTGCAGGCGTACGCCGAGCGCGGTCTGCGTGGCCTGATGGAGCTGGAGCGCTGCTGGCGCCAACACTTTCTGACCAGCATGAAGCCCCGCCATTTGCCCCCTCTCTGGTCCGTCAACCACAACCATGACAAATATCTGCGCAAGTATGGCGAGGACCTTCAAATCCAGCTCAATTGAGCTCCTCGCCACCCAAACAAAAAGACTCTGTGCTACAACTGCTGGAATAGGACGGTTCCCACTGTGTGTTTAACACCTTTGTGACCTGTCCTGTGTTGTTTGAGTGTGTACCAGAGACACTCGCTCTGGCCACAGGCAAGCCCTGGTGTTGACTTCCAAATGAGAAAATAAGACTAGACTGTGGCCCCAGTTTGAATGGGCTCTAAGGGACCAGATGGAGATTGGGAAACAGACTCTTTGGGGATCGGGAGCCACTGTGGTGAAACTCAAGGATGGTGCGAAAACAGAAATGGTGATAGGTATAATAACAACGTAATGCGCACACTTTTTAATGTTTAAAATGTTGAAAAGCATTCTCATTTCCCTGTGGAAAGTAGATTCTACTGTATTTTAACCAGCCCAAACCTGCTCTTCTTATTTCTTAATCCTTAATTGAATACAACATTCATAGGCAGGTTTGAGGCCATATTAAATATTATGTCAAGCGTTAAATCAGTTTGTCTTTTGAGGCTGTAAAAAATGACCATTTTTACTTAAATGCCCATAATGGAGCTTTATCAATTCAGTTTAAAATTTCAGGCTATTTAGTGGGTTTTGAAGAAAACTTCCTTTGTCTTTGAAAGACTGGACCAAATTAAGCCCAGCCTGGCACATGTCGTCTATACTATAATCTTTCTTGAAGTCAGGACACCTCTAAAACACACCAGAACATCTTTCGGTGTGTGTGTGTGTGTATGTACACACATAACCCTGACCGATTGAAGACGCGCTAAAATGATGCTGGAAGAAATTCTCAACAAGATTTCATGGTGCCAGTTTGTGTTTCATTTGCATTTACAGCCAGAGAGATTCAGCTCCATGGATGGCAACGCATATAAATGGCCAAATCAAGGAAACTGACGTCTGAGCCTAACATTTATAATTTAACTTAAGAAACACTAAAGTTTTTTATTTACATTTGTCCATATGTAACCTATTAAAAACTGCTGTGTTTCCTTAATGTCAATTAAAATAAATAAAATTTCAAATCTTAAGACTGAATGAGCTGGGTAGTGGTTGTCAGTTTTTCTTTACTTTGTAAATGATGCATAATATACTTCTGTTTCACTTCCTGAATGATCGCAGCACATAAAACAGTCCAACACTCGTACAGTTTTACTGTTTATTACTTAGAAAATCAAGATTTAATAAATAATCTGTAGAGACGTAAAAAAAAAAAAAACTGTTTTGGTCACTTCAGTGATATATGGGGGTCAACATCAGTAGTGACTAGTCTAATGATTCTGGAACAGCAGCTTTAAGGCCTCTTCGATTGTGGCATCAGAACAATCTGTTTGTCAAATGACCGTTTTGGATCCGTTTCAAATATTCTGTTTCACAGTAATAGTACACAAAAGTTGAAGTCAAACAAAATGGGGTATGTTACAAACATTGTCACGTTTAGGGCCAGTCACAGTATTCAGTTTGGTGGCCAAGTGTTCTGTAAGAATAGTGCATAGCGTTTGTCACATAAGCAATACATAAACATTTAAAGTCTTTCCTGTATCATAAGACATGAACATAAAACTTGAGCACAATTTTATTAATGACATCAAGTGGCAAAACTAACATGACAAACACACTGTTATTTTAAAATGCATCGCTATACTACTCCATTATCCAATTCGGAAGTAATCGTCGTTGGTGTACGGTGAGCGTGACGTAGATTGTCGAAAAATAATAATACATTAACAATATAATCCAATATAATATTTCACTGTCTGGATGTCTATAGTTACTGCTTTAGGCTTTGGTGAAGGCAGTTAAAACTCGGTCTAACTAAATTAAGTGTTCTGAATAATTTTCATACAGCTGAATGATTTTGAACAATGACGCTTGTTCAGTTGAGGCACGACCACATTTTAACATTTTAACAACCCTCTGCTACTTATTGCTTTTGCATCTATACATCATCTTGACTTAGACCACAATAGGAATAGTACAGATCATTGCAGTGACAGAATAAGACGAGGATGTTCAATCCTGCACCTGGAGGGCTAACAGAGACAGAGTCCTACAGATTTTAAAGGGGTGATGAACTGAGAAATCAAATTTTCCTTGAGCTTTTGACATTTAAGAGGTCGTCATATTATAAGAATAGCCTGTAAGTTTCAGAACTGAAACATCCTTGTTAGTCCAATAAAAGCTTTAATTGACACCAGCCTCAGCAAACGACTCGTTTTTCAAAGTGGGGATCTATGACGACAAAGAGGATAAAACACCACCCCAGCAGAAGAAGATCCACGCCTACTTCAACACGGCCGGTTTAGCCCCGCCCACCGATTCGTGCATTACACGCATAGCTAAATAACATAGACGCCTACCTCGTAATGACAAACCGGATTGAGCTACCGAGCAATAAATATTGTCCAGTGCCTGGTTGTGGAAGAAGACAGTCGCTGCATAAGCTTCGTCTGGATCCCAATAGGACTGCATGGATAGACTTTGTTTTTAATGAAGTTCCATCTGATGAGGGTAAAACATTGTCCATCTGTTTGCTTCATTTCACTGAGGATTGTTTTGTAAACAAGACTGGATTTGCAGACCGATTAAGAGTAAAGAACGTACTCTGCCGTCTATATTGGATCTGACAGGAATTGTGCTACACACGGACTCTGGGTCGAACATGTATGGGCGAATCATTCCGGTTGCCATTTTACAATATTGGACGTTTTTAAAACATTTTCCCCCACTTGCACCGACGGGTGAGTCGAAACTCATTATAATATGCAGAACTGTTATCCACTCACAGCAGTGGGCGTTTACTTCTAAGTCTTCAGTGCGAGAGACGCCCATTAAAACCCAGCGTTTTTGACATAGGCTCAAAACTAGGGTAGAAAATAGCCTATTACTTATTCATTCTGATGTTTTTGAATGCAAAAACCAAGCGAACGTCATAAGTTGACCTCAGAAAACAATATAATAAAATGTAAAAAGCCAGTTCATGACCCCTTTAACTCCCAACACACTTGCCTCTACTGCACAGTGGCCCTTCAGGAACAGGTTTGGACACCACTGGAATAAGGCATACATAATATCTGCCGCTTGCCCCGTGGAGGTCCTGTCAACCTTTACATTTTCAGTCTGTGGTTATGATTAATGAATTTCTTACATCTGGTGATTTCAGCTGGTGAAAATACAGTATATTTTCTTTGGGGGTAAACAAGCTGGAAGCTACACATTCTGTGTCCTGTCTGGGCATACAACACGTGGCCACTGAGTTGATGGTGCACTGAACTCTAGTGTGAAAGTCTACTTGACATCAGTATATCTGGCTGGTGTTTTCTGAACCAGTTTGGACCAAGCAATTCGCCTTGATACAATCTCACATTTGCTGTACAAGGCGGTTTTCACAGGTTAAGGCTGTTGGGCCAGATCAATTCTACATGACCCGCACACCAAGCTGCCTTTTCAAGTGTACTCTGGTTTGGTTCTTTGGGAGCTCCAGAGTTTAGATAAGGAGCATTCAAAATAACCAAACGTCAAACAGACCTAAGTCCCCATCAAATGAGGAATAGTCTTATTATAGACACATTCACATTAAAAAGGCATGTACAAACAGCCAAACTGCACTTATGCTTTTATCTTGCCTTAAACTAATAGAAGGCTATAGATTACTGTAATGTATCTCCACAAAAAAGGTTCCAAAAACTTCCCAGAATTCTATTCGCTCTATTTACACAATAAATAATAATAAATAGGATTTCTTGCTCAGGAACAACAAATAAAATTAGAGTAACCTTGACCTTTTACAGCATATGCACTTATATGTATTTACAGTGTATTTACCTAAGAAAGTACTGGGTAATATAAGGTAAGCACATGACTTAGGTTCAGGGTTATTACCCAGTACATAATAAGTACATAGTATGAAAATGGGGAGCAGTGCTGTAAAATAATGTGCTACCGCAACGTTTCTAGCAAAAGATTGGTGAATCCCGAAGCTTTTCTGTTCATCTTACACTTCTTTCCTCTCCCTCTTATAGTTGTCCTTCTAGCATGCTGCTAATTGCCTGATCCAGTGCATGAGGCTGTTGAATCTTGGGTTTAACCCCTATTGCAGAACCCTGCAACCTTTGCAGCTCCAGGATGCTGTCTATAGCACTTTGCAGGTGTTCACTCAGTTCCCCTTCCTCTACTAGTGTAGGCAAACTTGGAGACTCTTCTGCCGAAGCAACCAGCCTGTTCCTTTTAAGCACTGGAGTGCACTGCTCTGGAAGTAAGCCTTGCGCCCTTGAAGCTACGTAATCTGCTATGGCCACAGATTCAGAGTGGTTCTGTGAATCGCTACCCGTCCTAATTGTTTCCTTGTCAGGGTGTAATTTCAGCTTGTTTAGATAATTTTCGTTCTCTTCGACATTTGACAAAGGGGGCTTGAGGGATTCATCTTTCCCCTGCATGATGCCTCCCCTAGTTAACTGCCCGCTGTAGTTTCGTTTATACCCAGAGATGGCATTCGAGGCATCACATGCAGAGTTGTGGATGACTTTGCGGGATCCGGACTCATGTTTGATAGTGAGGCGTAGTGCTCCTCTGCTGCTGGAGCGATATGTCTTGAGGCCAGGAGGTCTGTCAGATTGCAAGGTCCACGATGGTGGAGATGGAGGACAACCGGAAAGACCAGTCTGGACAGATAACACTTGACTGTGCTGCGATGAGTTCTTAGGCCTTGACATCAGGAAGGACTCTGCTGAACCACCAAAATAATGAAACCTGTTCACATGTCACTATTTCTCGACAGAGTGCAGGTATCTGTGGCTGTAACTGTAATACGTCTGTCCACGTTACAGCAGAGTTCCTCAAATCCGATTCTAGAGGGCCACTGCCCTGTAAACTCTAACAAAGACTCCTGAGCAAGCTAATCGAGGTTTTCAGATTTACTGGAAAATTACAGGTAGGTGAGTTTGATCTGTGTTTGAGTGAAACTGCAAAGCAGTGGCACTCTAGGGACAGATTTGAGGGATCCTGCTTTATAGAATCGCATGAGCATATCAATGAAAAGAAACTAGTGAGAAATAGAGGCACACGAAAGAATATCGTGCCTTTTATACCTGGATCTCTTCTGGCTCGTCGTTTGTCCTCGCCCAGTGAGAGTCTCTCTGACTGCAGAAACAAACGCTCTAGCATCACCATCTCTGCTGATGGACTGTCCTGCTGAAGAAAGCAATGACAACTCAGACCTGCCCCCTCTTATATTCCCAAAAACCAAAATGATATTCAGCGTTTCAAAAAGCCACCTGTTACCTGGGATTCTGACAGGAGTAGTTGCCTGTACTTGTTTAGCATGTCTTTGGTTCGTTTCAACAGAACAACTGAAAAACACTCAAACTGCTTGTCCACTGCACAAAGAATGACAGACACTTTCATTAAGTTGTGACAACATCACGGGACAACAATTTTGTAAAATCAAATTCAAACTTCTTTATAGGACTCGAACCTGAGATAAAGTCAGTCTGGCTGGGTAGAGCTCTAGCACAAGTATGGTAGGGCAGCAAATGTCTGACAGCATCCTCCACTGAAACAAATGGAGCCAAAGTGTTTGGACTGAGAACAGCACTGTGGTCCAAAAATAGCTGCTGTTTGACCCTGAAAATAACGGAAATTTTATGTTAACATGTATTGTTTCAATTGTAACAATTAGTCATTGTGACATTGTGGATGACTTCCATTATTATTCTTTTTGTCTTTCAAACCTTTGTTAGGTATCTCACTATGTCTTGGACAAAGCTAAAGAATGGCATATCTTATGGCGCTTTTCCACTACACCGTACCAGCTCGACTCGACTTTGGTTTTCCACGGTGTAAAAGTTGTACCTGTACCTGCTTTCGGGTACTTTTTTTATATCACCTCCGGCGAGGTTCTGAGTGAGCTAAGGCAAGCTGAGCCGGTACTAAAATGTGACGAAAACAATGCCGACTGCTGATTGGTCAGAGAGAATCGTCACCATTCACTGCGTCATCATTGGATGCGCTAGATGGAGTATCCAGAATATCCCCGCCATTTTTAAATAGTTTGGCCAGAGATAGTTACTAAACTTACTACTATTGTTATGGCAACTCTGAAGAATACGGCGTGGTCAAACCAGGATTGGACACCCCTGTCTCAAGTGTTCCTCATATACAAACATGTATTGTCCACTGCTCACCTAACTGGCAGAAATCATAGTGCCTTTGTGTTGAGATGCACTTGTGTTGTTTTGGTCAGACAGACCTTTCTTTGAAAGACTTGTTTTGACCTCTGAAACACACGTGGGCAACCCCAAATGCGGTTCACCCACTGTGACTATACATCGCAAAAAGCTATACATTGCAACCCAAACCTGATTTTGTACCTAGGGCAGAAGGGTTCACTACTGCCCCTAAAGATTTACAGTTAAGTTGGATCTTCAGGAACAATTGATAATTACACAAATGTGTGTTGGAGCAGGGTTGGAATTGAACTCAGCAGAAAGGTAGCTATCTGGGAAGAGAATTGGGCATCCCTGATGGTAGTTTGTTGGTAAGTTTGTTGAAGGTAAGTTTGTTGCCTTGAAAATTATTAGGGCCCGAGCACTAACAGTGCGAGGTCCCTATTGAAACTGTTAGGATTATTTTATTAGGGCCCGAGCACTAACAGTGCGAGGACCCTATTGAAACTGTTAGGATTATTTTTTTTTTTCTTTTTTCTGCAAAGTAAGTGCCATTTTCGGGGCCGCAACATGCTCAAAAACTCACCAAATTTGGCACGCATGTCAGGACTGGTGAAAAATTTCGTATTTTGTGGGTTTCGCAGATGGGCGGGGCAAAATGGCACGCTAGCGCCACCTAGAAAATTGGAAAAAATTAGCCCCTCGTCCACGTTCAACCTACATGCACGAAATTTGGTGGGGACGTGTATCCTATCAAGACGCACAAAAAAGCCTCAAGAACCCATACCCTAAACTCGACAGGAGGTCCGCCATTTTGAATTTGGCGGCCATTTTTGGACGATTTACAGACTCCGTACTTTAACGAACTCCTCCTAGGGATTTAGTCGGATCGAATTAAAATTTCTGCTGTGCCTTCTAAAGGCATTGACGATGTAAAGTTGTGCTATCTGCGCGTTTTCGTCGATGGGCGTGTCCGTGGCGTCGATGATTCGCCATGAAACAGGAAGTTGTAGTAACTTGGCTGTAAATGCCCAGATCTGCACGAAATTTTACACATTTGACAAGAGTCACGCCCTGAACAAATCTACATGCCGACATTCACCCACAGTCATAGCGCCACCTGCTGGCAACAGGAAGTGACCTTTAACGAAGCAGCCCCCGCCGCTTGTTTGACCGACATGTACGAAATTTCTGTGGTACATCTACCATGACCAGACGCACAAAAAAGCCTCAAGAACCCATACCCTAAACTCGACAGGAAGTCCGCCATTTTGAATTCGGCGACCGATTTGGGACGATTTACACACTCCGTACTTTAACGAACTCCTCCTAGGGATTTAGTCGGATCAACTTCAAATTTCTGCTGTACCTTCTAAAGGCATTGACGATGTAAAGTTGTGCTATCTGCGCGTTTTCGTCGATGGGCGTGTCCGTGGCGTCGATGATTCGCCATGAAACAGGAAGTTGTAGTAACTTGGCTGTAAATGCCCAGTTCTACACGAAATTTTACACATTTGACAAGAGTCCCGTCCTGAACAAATCTACATGCCGACATTCACCCACATTCATAGCGCCACCTAGTGGCAAGAGGAAGTGACATTTAACGAAGCAGCCCCCGTCGCATGTTTGACCGACATGTACGAAATTTCTGTGGTACATCTACCATGTCCAGACGCACAGAAAAGTCTCTTGGAGCGATGCCCTAAACTCAACAGGAAGTCAGCCATTTCTAATTTTACCGCCATTTTTGGATGATTTACTCATTACGTACTTTAACTAACTCCTCCTAGGGCTTAAGTCGGATCGCCTTCAAATTTCTGCTGTGCCTTCTAAAGGCATTGACGATGAAAAGTTGTGCTATCTGCACGTTTTCGTCGATGGGCGTGTCCGTGGCGTCGATGATTCGCCATGAAACAGGAAGTTGTAGTAACTTGGCTGTAAATGCCCAGATCTGCACGAAATTTAACACATTTGACAAGAGTCCCGCCCTGATCAAATCTACATGCCGACATTCACCCACAGTCATAGCGCCACCTGCTGGCAACAGGAAGTGGCCTTTAACGAAGCAGTGTGGCAAATGCACAGCCGCACTGGCTGAGCTGCAGAAAATGAAACGCGGCCGCCTCACACCCCGACGTGCTACAGGTGCGAGGGCCCGCCCATCGCTGCTTGCAGCTTTAATTTTTTTTTTCTTTTCTTTTTTCTGCAAAGTAAGTGCCATTTTCGGGGCCGCAACATGCTCAAAAACTCACCAAATTTGGCACGCATGTCAGGACTGGTGAAAAATTTCGTATTTTGTGGGTTTCACAGATGGGCGGGGCAAAATGGCACGCTAGCGCCACCTAGAAAATTGGAAAAAATTAGCCCCTCGTCCACGTTCAACCTACGTGCACGAAATTTGGTGGGGACGTGTATCATATCAAGACGCACAAAAAAGCCTCAAGAACCCATACCCTAAACTCGACAGGAGGTCCGCCATTTTGAATTTGGCGGCCATTTTTGGACGATTTACAGACTCCGTACTTTAACGAACTCCTCCTAGGGATTTAGTCGGATCGACTTAAAATTTCTGCTGTGCCTTCTAAAGGCATTGACGATGTAAAGTTGTGCTATCTGCGCGTTTTCGTCGATGGGCGTGTCCGTGGCGTCGAAGATTCGCCATGAAACAGGAAGTTGTAGTAACTTGGCTGTAAATGCCCAGATCTGCACGAAATTTTACACATTTGACAAGAGTCACGCCCTGAACAAATCTACATGCCGACATTCACCCACAGTCATAGCGCCACCTGCTGGCAACAGGAAGTGACCTTTAACGAAGCAGCCCCCGCCGCTTGTTTGACCGACATGTACGAAATTTCTGTGGTACATCTACCATGACCAGACGCACAAAAAAGCCTCAAGAACCCATACCCTAAACTCGACAGGAAGTCCGCCATTTTGAATTCGGCGACCGATTTGGGATGATTTACACACTCCGTACTTTAACGAACTCCTCCTAGGGATTTAGTCGGATCAACTTCAAATTTCTGCTGTACCTTCTAAAGGCATTGACAATGTAAAGTTGTGCTATCTGCGCGTTTTCATCGATGGGCGTGTCCGTGGCGTCGATGATTCGCCATGAAACAGGAAGTTGTAGTAACTTGGCTGTAAATGCCCAGATCTACACGAAATTTTACACATTTGACAAGAGTCCCGCCCTGAACAAATCTACATGCTGACATTCACCCACATTCATAGCGCCACCTAGTGGCAAGAGGAAGTGATATTTAACGAAGCAGCCCCCGTCGCATGTTTGACCGACATGTACAAAATTTCTGTGGTACATCTACCATGTCCAGACGCACAGAAAAGTCTCTTGGAGCGATGCCCTAAACTCAACAGGAAGTCAGCCATTTCTAATTTTACCGCCATTTTTGGATGATTTACTCATTACGTACTTTAACTAACTCCTCCTAGGGCTTTAGTCGGATCGCCTTCAAATTTCTGCTGTGCCTTCTAAAGGCATTGACGATGAAAAGTTGTGCTATCTGCGCGTTTTCGTCGATGGGCGTGTCCGTGGCGTCGATGATTCGCCATGAAACAGGAAGTTGTAGTAACTTGGCTGTAAATGCCCAGATCTGCACGAAATTTAACACATTTGACAAGAGTCCCGCCCTGATCAAATCTACATGCCGAAATTCACCCACAGTCATAGCGCCACCTGCTGGCAACAGGAAGTGGCCTTTAACGAAGCAGTGTGGCAAATGCACAGCCGCACTGGCTGAGCTGCAGAAAATGAAACGCGGCCGCCTCAGACCCCGACGTGCTACAGGTGCGAGGGCCCGCCCATCGCTGCTTGCAGCTTTAATTTTTTTTTTATTTTTTATTTTTTTTCTGCAAAGTAAGTGCCATTTTCGGGGCCGCAACATGCTCAAAAACTCACCAAATTTGGCACGCATGTCAGGACTGGTGAAAAATTTCGTATTTTGTGGGTTTCGCGGATGGGCGGGGCAAAATGGCACGATAGCGCCACCTAGAAAATTGAAAAAAATTAGCCCCTCGTCCACGTTCAACCTACATGCACGAAATTTGGTGGGGACGTGTATCATATCAAGACGCACAAAAAAGCCTCAAGAACCCATACCCTAAACTCGACAGGATGTCCGCCATTTTGAATTTGGCGGCCATTTTGGACGATTTACAGACTCCGTACTTTAACGAACTCCTCCTAGGGATTTAGTCGGATGGACTTAAAATTTCTGCTGTGCCTTCTAAAGGCATTGACGATGTAAAGTTGTGCTATCTGCGCGTTTTCGTCGATGGGCGTGTCCGTGGCGTCGAAGATTCGCCATGAAACAGGAAGTTGTAATAACTTGGCTGTAAATGCCCAGACCTGCACGAAATTTTACACATTTGACAAGAGTCCCGCCCTGAACAAATCTACATGCCGACATTCACCCTAAGTCATAGCGCCACCTGCTGGCAACAGGAAGTGACCTTTAACGTAGCAGCCCCCGCCATATGTTTGACCGACATGTACGAAATTTCTGTGGTACATCTAGCATGACCAGACGTACAAAAAAGCCTCAAGAACCCATACCCTAAACTCGACAGGAAGTCCGCCATTTTGAATTTGGCGACCGATTTGGGACGATTTACACACTCCGTACTTTAACGAACTCCTCCTAGGGAATTAGTCGGATCAAATTCACATTTCTGCTGTACCTTCTAAAGGCATTGACGATGTAAAGTTGTGCTATCTGCGTGTTTTCGTCGATGGGCGTGTCCGTGGCGTCGATGATTCGCCATGAAACAGGAAGTTGTAGTAACTTGGCTGTAAATGCCCAGATCTGCACGAAATTTTACACATTTGACAAGAGTCCCGCCCTGAACAAATCTACATGCTGTCATTCACCCACAGTAATAGCGCCACCTGCTGGCAACAGGAAGTGACCTTTAACGAAGCAGCCCCCTGTCGCATGTTTGACCGACATGTACGAAATTTCTGTGGCACATCTACCATGTCCAGACGCACTGAAAAGTCTCTTGGAGCGATGCCCTAAACTCAACAGGAAGTCGGCCATTTCGAATTTTACCGCCATTTTTGGATGATTTACTCATTACGTACTTTAACGAACTCCTCCTAGGGCTTTCGTCGGATTGACTTCACATTTCTGCTGTGCCTTCCAAAGGCATTGACGATGTAAAGTTGTGCTATCTGCGCGTTTTCGTCAATGGGTGTGTGTGTGGCGTCGATGATTCGCCATGAAACAGGAAGTTGTAGTAACTTGGCTGTAAATGCCTAGATCTGCACAAAATTTTACACATTTGACAAGAGTCCCGCCCTGAAAAAATCTACATTCAGAAATTCACCCACAGTCATAGCGCCACCTGCTGGCAACAGGAAGTGGCCTTTAACGAAGCAGCCCCCGTCGCATGTTTGACCGACCTGTATGAAATTTCAGTGGTACATCTACCATGTCCAGCCGCACAGAAAAGTCTCTTGGAGCGATGCCCTGAACTCAACAGGAAGTCGGACATTTCTAATTTCACCGCCATTTTTGGATGATTTACTCATTACGTACTTTAACTAACTCCTCCTAGGGAGTTAGTCGGATCGACTTCAAATTTCTGCTGTGCCTTCTAAAGGCATTGACGATGAAAAGTTGTGCTATCTGCGTGTTTTCCTCAATGGGCGTGTCCGTGGCATCGATGATTCGCCATGAAACAGGAAGTTGTAGTAACTTGGCTGTAAATGCCCAGATCTGCACCAAATTGTACACATTTGACAAGAGTCCCGCCCTGAACAAATCTACATGCCGACATTCACCCAGTCATAGCGCCACCTGCTGGCAACAGGAAGTGACCTTTAATGAAGCAGCGTAGCAAATTTACAGCCGCACCGGCTGAGCTGCAAAATATGCGACGCGGCCGCCTCACACCCCGACGCGCTACAGGTGCGAGGGCCCGCCCATCGCTGCTTGCAGCTTTAATTGTCATTGTTGTTTCCCATTGTCTGGTCAGACACAATGACACTACAGATTCAGACAGTACAGCTTCAGTAAGCAATCAATACAGGAAAGGTCTGTTCGGGTATCGGGCTTTGCAAGAAACCGTACATCTTTTTTAATCCATGCTGAGGTCTACATAGAATTAGAATGCAACTGAGCAAGTATGTTACTTACATGTGTTGCCTCTTTTCTAGTGTCAGTTTCTCCTCCGGACTGCATGCAATTGGTGTCTGTTACACAAAATGCATATTAATAAAAGACTACTTTCCGAATTACTTTGAAATAACATCTCCCTTAAATCTAGACTGATCTCTTGAAGACTTATTTTTGCACCTTAACCTTCTTCTGAAGTGCTGAGTAGGTCTCTTTGTCCTGGGAATCCAGGTATCCCATCTCCCTTAAGTCATGGTGGTCCAAAGAGATTATCCCACTGTTGATCTCTAATAAGGAAGAGGTATCAATTTAAATGTTCAATTTAGGCTGTTTAGTTCTTCTTCCACAGCTACAGTGATAATATTAAATGTAAAATATTCAATATTCATGTACTGTAGCGGGACCTCACTTTTCCCCGGAACAAAGAAAGGGGCAAGCCATCCTTTAGAGAGAGGACGCACCCGATAACAACAGAGTCAGACTAACAAAGCTGAAGTTCGTCATTCTTCACTCAATCCAGAAGAACCTCATTGCAACTTCAACACCATTCAAACAATTGAACCATTAACACTTTCATCCAAACTGCATTCAGACACCCATTCAACGGCTAAGGCAAAGCAAGTATTGTACATTTAATTAGAATGTAGGTTGTTTAGAATAAGCTGTAGACCCCTTGATACCAAGATGCTTTAAATTAAGAAATCTGGTTCCTCTGAGCTCAGGTAAATCATGAATTAGTTAAACTGCCTTTGATACAACTTTTCTAAGGCAAAAAAGAAAGCTTACTCTTTATAGGCCCCTCCTGCCACTTGGGTTCAGCACAAAGAGCAATCGACATAAAGGAATCCAGCTCATCTGGGGCTGGGGGTGTTGAGCCTATCATGGAGTCTGTGCTTGTGGTCTTTACAGTAGGAGATTGTAGTACAATGTCACTGTGCTCTGAGGAATGGTACACTGGCAAAGGAATCTCTTTACTCTCACAAGAGGCAGAAAAGGTCTCAGGTGCAGTCAAAGGTGTAAGTGAATCCTCAGTTTCACCTGTGGCAGTAGAGATGTTGTCCATTTGCACAAGCAGAGTTGTAGCTAAGGTCTCTTGGGTGGCTGACGGTTTAAGTGGATTCTGCAGGGAAAGAAGTATATTATGTACTTACTGAAGAGGTATGAAATACGTTCCTAATATGCTGCAGCATTTTCATTTCCGTCTTTGAATGTAAAAACACAGAATGCTTGAGAACCTATGACAGGACGCAATAAATTTACCTGTTGAGGAAGAAGTATTGATCCCTGATTGTGATACAATGGATTATGCTCTCCTTCAGTAAATTGTTGCTCTTCTGTTTGGGTGATCAGTTGTGGGGGTAATGACAGAACTGGCTCCGGAGTACAACTAACATCTGGTTTTGACAGTAGAAGAGTTGATACTGGAGAGGGATGAAAGTGAATCTCTACAATGGGTGCTTCCACTGAAGCTTGAGGAGGCAATCTGCTCTCCTGCCAAAACAAAAGCAGTAAACATATTGAGCTCCAAATATATTGTAATATGCAACCATGTTTTCAAAATGAAATTATAACATTTAAATGTTTATTAAATTGTTATAAAATTTACTGTTCAACAACATAAAAAAACATTCTGAATGTTACAACAGAAAATGTAAAAAAAATGAACCCACTTGAAGCAATTTGTTGACTTTCTCCTCATCTTCTGTTGTTTTCTCAGGTGAGAGAGGCACTGAATTCTGGGTAAGACTCACCTTCCCCTCAGGTCTCCCTACCAGAGCTCTTTCTATCACTGACTCACCATTCCCTATTGGTGTGGTGGTCATGTCAGGAAGGAGCATATTAGCATTATTAATCAATCTGATCTGGTTTCTGACTGTGTTTTGAACAACAGCATCATGCTGTACCTGCACTTGAGGTGCATAGGTCCCTGCTAGCTGTGTTGGCATCTGGAAGACTGCAGGAGGTGTTGGCCGAATCGGTAAAGACCCTGATAGAAGTTCCCCATGTTTGAGGGTGAGTTGTCCAGTTGGAGAAGTGAAAATAGGGCTCAAGTTTATTTGCCTTGGCTGTATAGTCACAATTTGAGAACTGTCAATGTTGGGTTTGTTAGACATCTGATTGCTTGGTGTGCTAAGAAGACACCTTGAAATGCTTGTAGTCATGGTTGCAGGTGTTTGGCTGGGCAGAAAGAATTGTCTCTGATCCTGAAAAGGATCTTGGGGCTGAATGACAATGGGGCCTCCCTGACCAACCAAATTAAAGCTAACAGGTTTTCTAACACTTGGTGCGGACTGTGCTTGCAAGGACTGCTTTGAGTTAACAGAAGTGGATAGCAAGACACTCTGTGTTGTATTTGCTGAGATAAAGGCAAATCCTGGCAATGGGTTCGGTCCTGATGGCCTGGGACTGATCTGTACAAGCCTGGGCTGGATGTTGAAAGGTAACTTGGGCTGAATGTGTAGAGGAGTTTTTTGTAACATGACCACTGATGGAGAAATTGTTTTAACGGTAGAGGCCAACATCTGGCAGCTTGTGAGGCTTGGCAGGGTCTTTTGGGTAATCATGCTGGTCCTTTGTGCTGAATTAATAGAAAAGGATGCCTTGAGCGGAGGTGTGGGGAAGACATTCCCAGGAAGTAGACTCATTAACTGGGTTCCTGGAGGCTTGAGTGAGGGGCAGCCTGGACCAACAGCTAACAAAGATGGCTGAGGAGGCTCCACTGCTGTTTGTGTGTCCTTTGGTAAAGAGATCAAGCCAGGCATGGTCAATGGTTTGGAGAAATATGGTGTTGCAGGCAAAGGAAGGGATGCATCAGACAAACCGAGCTGGAGAGTCTCAGCTGTTTGGGCAAGTCCTGCCTCTAAAGCAAGAGTGTCCTCAGTGATGTCCGCCTCTTGGAGACTCTGCTGGAGAATGTCACAGATCTCTTCTGACTCTTTCCGCTGTTCCACTAAGTGGACATTGGGATCTTCTTGTGCCTCTTCACTTCCTAAAGATGATACCGGTGATGCAAGCAGAGCCTCCTCCAGAAAGGCCAGATCTAAACATCCAGAGTCAGGAGTGTCCTGAGAACTTGCATCATCTGCTAACAGAGATGCAGGGCTCTGCAGAACAAAAGTTCACAACAATTATGTAAAATGTCCGCTAGGAACAAAAACACTATTTTAAAGCTTAAATTCAAATATAAATTATTTTGATGATGAAAAGTGGGTTTTGTTAGACAGACATGCAAATCAAATGTGATTGCCTCTTGGGGAGAAAGGTCTAGACTCACTGGAGTGTCTGTGAAGAGTGAGGGCTCTCCAGAGGATGAATTAAGGAGTAAGTCTCCACTTGGCAGCTGTTTGAACAGAAGGGACAGTTAATTGCCTGGAGTATTTTTTAGACCTTGTATTTGCACACAAAATGTATATACAAACACAAGAGTTTCTCTTGTTAAGGTCCTTCTCAGTTGTTCACGAGAGATCTTCCTACATATGACCTTATAAGTGTGGAAAGGTTTCCAAGTTACCACAGCTGAAACTAGTTTTGGAGAAAGTAGGCCACTGTAACAGGTAGTCACTTATGTTACTAACTTTACAGATTACAACCACAAAGTAATATTACAATTATCCTTCATACCTCGTTTGTCCCATGAAGAAAATCATTCAGGGCTTGAGGGTCACTGTTTCAAAGAAAAACATTTAGTAGTTAACATGAGCAAAATATCTGATGTGAATGTTTTTTTTTTTTTTGCTTTAAATTCTAAACATACAAACTGAGACAATTCAATTTACTAGATGTAACACTTACCACAAAACATCAAATAAACAAGTACCATCTTCATCCTCCATTTCAACTAATTAAGAAGAGAGGTAGATTGGAATTACAAAACTATAAGAACATTTCGAACAGATTCAATTTTGTATGGATAAAATATGCATGCACCCCTTTATATTCAAACTAATATGACATATAACTTAATGAACTATATAAATTAACTCATTCAACAAATTCATTTTAAAAATGTATGCTATTTTAGATTTGGCTTGGTGCCAAATCTCTAGTAAATCTCTTTCACAGTGTATTAAATGAGATAAAAGTAAAACCATGCAATTATGTAATAATCTTGTGAAGCAACCTAACCTCTTATTAGAGTGGCTCCATTCAGAGCAGGAAGAGAGAGTGTGTGGGGACTTCATTGACTGGATTTCAGGGACTTGCTGTGAGAAAACCAGATATTTGGACATATGCTTCTCAGCTGGGACATCGAGTCTTCAGGAGCTGAGAAAGTAAACATGAGGTGTACAGAATGCTATTATATAGGGCTGTCAAATGATTAATCATGATTAATCACATCCAAAATAAAAGTTTTTGTTTACATGATATATGTGGGTAAACTGTGTATAATTATACACAGTATAACTATGTTAACTATATAAATACACACATATGCACGTATATTTAAGAAAAAAATATTTATATATAAAATATCTATATTTATATATAATATAATTTATATATAAATCTATATACAGTGTATACATGGAAATATTTCTTTAATATATACAAGCATGTGTGTGTATTTATATATATAAAATAATTATACACAGTGCACCCACATATCACGTAAACAAAAACTTTTATTTTGGATGTGATTAATCACGATTAATCATTTGACAGCCCTACTATTATATTGTTCTTGCAAGTCAGGATGGTGAAATGAAATGGCTTGACTGAAAACTGGCAAACATATTTTTTGTTACAATGAAATTTTACAATTTCACTGTTCTTTAAATTTTTGGTCAAAAAGCCTACAAAATAGACATCTCAGGTTTGTTTATATATGGTTATAACTGATTAGTAAAGATTAGATTAGAGTTATTTGCACAATTTGTTGCTTTTTAAGTCAGTAATAATGTTAAATTGTCAATAATGTTAAATTCAGCAATGAATAAAAATGGTGTGGTTAAAAAGAGTAAAGCCTATTTATAATAATGCAAATGGCAAACAATAAAAAACATGTCTTGGAAGTTACATTTTACTTGGTTTACTTTCCTAGAATATCTTAAAGTCCACGATTCAGTGTTATTTTATTAATTACAGAAAGTTATTATTAACTGAAAGTTATTCAGTGTTGTTTTATTAACAATAAAATTCCACATTTCACTGTTAAGTGTAAAATATTATAAAAAGTGTTAAATATTATATTAAAACGCCAAATATGACTTTTCTATCAATTTTCAATATCTGTTGATTGATGAAAATAAAAAGATAAATAATAATTCATTGTGTGTTTCAAAGGAATTGGGCTTTGACTCATTGGAGGCATGGACTGTAGGAATGACCAAACTACACGCATAGCCTCCTCTGTTTACAATTTATCCATTCAGTGACAGGCTAGGCAGCAATAATATAACTTCACATTTAAAAAATGCTATTATGGATAATGTAGCCTACAGTATATTGTTAGTTATGTAATGTCTAAAATAAAATGTCAGAAGATTTGATAACTATCATCGCATCATGAACGACATGCCAGGTTCAGGATCCGTTCATTTGCTTTGGCCGAAAATTCCCCTATTTCTCTCTCTCTCTCTCTCTCTCTCTCTCTCTCTCTCTCTCTCTCTCTCTCTCTCTCTCTCTCTCTCTCTCTCTTTCTCTCTTTCTCTCTTTCTCTCTCTCTCTTGACTTTCAGCGGAGGTCCAAGAACCGAGATCTCCTGCACAGACACTTTCTTATTTTTCTTTACCAGCATCCGCATTTCATTACCGCAGCACACACTGACTGTAATGTTCAAAATTACAGCATTGTAGCCTATTTTAGCAATGACTCCCAACATTATCCGTCTATCATGCCCCAAATTCAGAGCAAGTTAGCGTTTGCGTCCGACAAGAAAACAGGGATGCTGTTCGAGACGGTGATGAGGACGAAAAAGCTCTTCATGTGAACACGCAGCTGCACATGTATCCCATCATCACATCTCGTGCCGCGCTATAACGCGCGTATCCTAATGCGGCATTTCGCAGAGGAAGAAGGAGAAGAACTCACCAGCGTCTTTGTGCTTTATTATTGTCCTTTCAGAGGGGCCTGTGCGCCATCCATCCCTACTCACATGCTCAAGGAGGAGGGGGAGACGGGCTCGTGCGGGTGGGTGACAAACACAGAGGTGGAAGACAGAAAGCGTGTGTGCATGTGTTGCTCTTCAGTCTGAAACACACTCGAGCCGAAAGAATGGATTTCACTGAAGCGCGCATCTCTTTACACACATGATGAGACACTTAAACGCATTGCACGTAATCTTGACTTTGCCACATCTTGTTGAGATTTTCTTCAGAGACTATAATGCATGTTATCTAGCAGTAGTATTTTATGTTTTGTGTCAATGTCTTAAATAGTAATATTTTTAATCAATTATGTCCTTAAAACTAAAATCCCAATATGATCATATTCAGTAAATAAAAAATGGCATTGTGTGAGTTGAATAAGGAAGTGTATTGATCACGAGTATAACTCTCACTTAAGAGTGTGGACTGAGTCATCATTGAAATCCTGATCTTCTTCTGAGTGTGAAAGAGTATTGAAGTTCTCCATGCTGTGAGAAGTCATCTGCATCTCTTCATCTTCTGAGTGCTGTTTCGGTGTAACAGTGGAAGGATTGATCATTGGGTGAGTGCTGGCCTTATTGCACTGAGAGTGGATATGCAGTGCCCGAATTGAAGTGTTACACAGTAATGGACTTGATGTGAAGTGCAGTGTGTGGATGTATATGTATATTTAACTGCCAGTATTCCCCAGTTCATATTCTCGCCCAGTGTTTGCTGAACCCAAAATCTCAGTGTTGAACGTGCATGTCCCGCTCCGGCCACAATCTCCCGTTCGATACCGAAGAGAAGTGTGCTTGCCCTGTATAACTTGTCTGTCTATTCAAAGGAAAAATTCTCCTGCTACTGTCTTCTGGTGTGATGCCCGTCTGGAGGAGGAACACACCCTAGCCTTAGTGTTGCTTGCTTGGAGCAACCCAGTCCAGCCGTAAGCCCGATTCTCCATCTCAAAGAGAGTGTGCCTGTACCTGTATAAATTGCTCTGTCTGTTTAAATAGATGATTCTTGGTCTTCTATTTAAGGTGTTGTCTTTTGTTTTAAATTTACGATTTAATAATGCAATCGCTGTTGTTTGTCCATAGAAAACATGACAGCCCGCGTCTGTTTTGGAACTATTGGGGCTTCTTCCATGAACCACGTGACAGCCTTGCGGCGACATCAAAGCGTGTCGCAACTCTCTAAATATATGGCTCTGGGCCGACTGATTTAACCTGAAAGAAGAGCAGCTTTAACTGAAATAACCACTCGTTACAACCGAGGTATGCAGCAAAGCATTTGTGAAGCCACAACACGAACAACCTTGAGGCGGATGGGCTACAACAGCAGAAGACCCCACCGGGTACCACTCATCTCCACTACAAATAGGAAAAAGAGGCAACAATTTGCAAGAGCTCACCAAAACTGGACAGTTGAAGACTGGAAAAATAATGCCTGGTCTGATGAGTCTCGATTTCTGTTGAACATTCAGATGGTAGAGTCAGAATTTGGCGTAAACAGAATGAGAACATGGATCCATCATGCCTTGTTACCACTGTGCAGGCTGGTGGTGGTGGTGTAATGGTGTCGGGGATGTTTTCTTGGCACACTTTAGGCCCCTTAGTGCCAATTGGGCATCGTTTAAATGCCACGGCCTACCTGAACATTGTTTCTGACCATGTTCATCCCATTATGGCCACCATGTCCCCATCCTCTGATGGCTACTTCCAGCAGGATAATGCACCATGTCACAAAGCTTGAATCATTTCAAATTGGTTTCTTGAACATGACAATGAGTTGACTGTACTAAAATGGCCCCCACAGTCACCAGATCTCAACCCAATAGAGCATCTTTGGGATGTGGTGGAACGAGAGCTTTGGATGTGCATCCCACAAATCTCCATCAACTGCAAGATGCTATCCTATCAATATGGGCCAACATTTCTAAAGAATGCTTTCAGCACCTTGTTGAATCAATGCCGCGTAGAATTAAGGCAGTTCTGAAGCTGAAAGGGGGTCAAACACAGTATTAGTGTGGTGTTCCTAATAATCCTTTAGGTGAGTGTGTATATATATATATATATATATATATATATATATATATATATATACATGTATATAGTACTGTGCAGAAGTCTTAGGCATACTAGTATTTTCGCCTCAAAGAAATGGTTTTAAGCCAGTTCTTTAAATATTTTGTTGTAGTGTCTCAGTAGGAAATATCAGTTTACATTTCCAGACATTAATTGTGCCATTAATTGTAATAATCCAGTGAAATTTTTGAATGCTCAAGGATTCTGACAACAGCCAATGCTCCACACGAAGGTCGGATCTCACCATCATCGAGTGCATCTGAAATTATATGAAGAAACAGAAAAAACAGAGACTAAGACCAGAAGAACTGCGGCAACGTCTCGAAGGTAGTGCCTGCCTGCCTGCAAAGCTGCAGTACTATGAAAAAGCACTTGTGTAAAAATGTTGTAAATGAGAATGTTTTCAAAAATAATTTCATAATCATAAATAGATTTTATTTATCAATTCACTTTTATTAGTTAACTATTATTAACTTTTATTAACTTTTAACAGTTAACTAAATCAAATCAATAGGTGTTTAGTACCCTTTTAAAACGTTTAAAACCGCTTTTGTCCAGATATACGCCTTATTCACGGCAGCGCCATCTTTGATTTTTAATGAGAATGAAAGCGAGGCTGTGAGGGATAGACTTGCATCTCTTCAATGGGCTGTACTGTTATTTAATATGTTTTCGGATTGTTCTGCTCATGAAACACTGGAAAAATATCTTTCCAAGAAATGTCAGTTGACAAAAAACTCCCGACAATGTAAGCTGTGGAAAATTGTAAGTAATCTAGCCGCTTTATTCAGCTTTTTACAGCAGATGCAATTGGAAACACGGTAAGTCTATCCCTCACAGCCTCACTTTCATACCCGTCATGGCGCTGCTCTGAATAAAGTCTATTGCACATAGTTTTTAGTCTTGCAGGGTTTTTCAAGCGTCTTTGGAAACGTTGCTGCAGTTCTTCTGGTCTTAGTCTCTGTTTTTTCTGTTTCTTCATATAATTTCAGATGCACTCGATGATGGTGAGATCCGACCTCCGTGTGGAGCATTGGCTGTTGGTAGAATCCTTCTGCATTCAAAAATTTCATTGGATTATTACAATTGATGGGACAATTAATGTCTGGAAATGTAAACTGATATTTCCTACTGAGACACTACAACAAAATATATAAATAACTGGCTTAAAACCATTTCTTTGAGGCGAAAATACTAGTGTGCCTAAGACTTCTGCACAGTACTATATATATGAAGAGTTCAGATTCAAAAGCCTCTAAGTGCCATTTGAAATTTTCTTCTAGAATGATAATTTTTATCAAGCTTTTATATTTAAGTTCAGTGATTTCACTTAAATGGCAATGATAATTACCTATTAATTGTTATTTAAGTGAAATTACTGAACTTAAATATACAAGTTTGATAAAAATCATCATTAAAGAAGAAAATTTCAAATGGCAAATATCAAATATATATATATAGATTTATTTAGAAAATGACAGATTTCACTAAATAATAATTCGGCTGATCATGAATGTAGGTTTAGCATTGAAACTGCAATTTGGACTAAACTTCATTGAAGTCCACTATATGGAGAAAACCTGAAATGTCTTCATCAACGTCTCGGTTACGTATGTAACCCTCGTTCCCTGAGTAGGGAACGGAGACGTTACGTCAGAAGTGACGGAGATTGGGGTTTCGCATAGAAAGCCAATCCTCTTCGAGTATTTAAAACGAGCCAATGGCATGCAATGCCTTGGGGCTGCGGAAATTTGCATAGCGTACTCCGCCCTACTCCGTGAGTATAAAAGGAGGAAGTGAACGCAACCGCAGTATGTCTTCGCTGAGGAGCCAAGACTGAACTCGGCGTCTACCCAGCGATACAGCAGAAGTGGCAGGGAGACGTAACGTCTCCGTTCCCTACTCAGGGAACGAGGTACCATACGTAACCGAGACGTTCCCTTTCGTAGTCACTTCGAGTTACGTCAGAAGTGACGGAGATTGGGGGTCTGTGCCATCACGCCATCTTCAAGCTGTCTTCCAGTGCCCTGCGAAAGTCTGGACCCCTCCCTTTTTTTTTTTTTTTATTTTTTTTTTTAGGGATCCTACTTTGACACAGGATTACAAAGGTACACTGGGAAACATATCCCGGGAGGGACATGCTACCAGATGCCTACCGAAGGGAGGACTTAAGAATACTCATATGGCCACGTAGGAACGCATATGGAGACACTGGAGCACCAAGCGCAGGTGGCTGCTAAAATTTCAACTCCAGGGGTGGCAGATGGCTTGCCAAGGGAAGACACATGCTCAGAGAGGCTTACAGTGGATAATACACATGAGACGGTTACCATGGGGGAACCGTACGCATGGAGGCACCTAGCCAGCATCCAGAGCAACAGCAGTGGTGCCCGCATCGTCGGTGCTGGAGGACTCAAGACTTCAATGGAAGAACTGAGGAATATCGCACTTATCCAGTCCGGGGAGTGGAGTGGCGAGCAAGCGAAGACACCTGAGCGGGTCCAGAACTGGCCGAAACGAGTACGTGAGAGGATACCGGCTCAATTCGCAGATTATAGAATCTGGCGAAGGTGTTGGGTGTCGCCCAGCCTGCAGCTCTGCAGATGTCTGTTAGCGAGGCGCCATGCGCTAGAGCCCAAGAGGAGGCCACACTCCGAGTGGAATGGGCCGTCACACCAAGGGGGCACGGCCGGCCTAGCTGCTGGTAAGACAAAGCGATGGCGTCCACTATCCAGTGGGACAGCCGTTACTTTGAGAGAGCCCTTCCCTTCTGGCTCCCCCCATGACAGACAAAGAGCTGGTCTGAGGTCCTGAAACACTGCGTTCTGTCGACATAGGTGCGGAGAGCACGTACCGGACAGAGCAGTGCCAAGGCTGGGTCTGCCTCCTCCAGGGGCAGCGCTTGCAGGTTCACCACCAGGTCCCGGAGGGGAGTGGTAGGAACCTTGGGCATATATCCAGGCCGGGGTCTCAGGAATACGTGAGAGTAAGCCGGCCCGAACTCCAGGCACACTTCGTCAACAGAGAGTGCGTGCAGGTCCCTTACTCTCCTGATGGAGACCAATGCAATCAGGAGTGCTGTCTACATAGGACCAGGGCAAAAACTCTACCGACTGCAAAGGCTCCAGGGGAGGCCTCTGCAGAGCACCCAGGTCTACTGAGAGGTCCCCAGAGGGCAGGAGGGGAGGGAGGCGGATTTAGCCCCCTCGCTCCCCTCAGGAACCTGATGACCAGGTCATGCTTCCCATAGACTTACCTTTCACTGCATCATGAGACATAAATCCAAAGGGTGGAGAGCGACAGCCTACGCTCCAACCCTTCTTGCAGGAAGGAAGCACGACTCCGATCGAACATCTCCGGGGGTCTTCTCAGCGAGAAGAGCACCAGCTGACGAAGAGGTTCCACTTCAACGCGTACAGGTGTCTCGTGGACGACGCTCTAGCGGAAGTGATGGTTGCCGCCACCGCAGGTGGCAACGAACTCAAACCTGCCCCGTCCCATCCCGGAGCCACACGTGTAGTCTCCAGGATCAGGACGAGGGTGCCACGGAGTGCCCCGTCTCTGAGTGAGTAGATCTTGTCTCAGAGGAACAGGCCAAGGAGGTGCTGTCGCGAGGAGCATGAGTTCGGAGAACCACTTCTTGGTGGGCCAATAGGGGACTACCAGCAAGACCTGCTCCTCGTCCTCCTTGATCTTGCACAACACCCGTGCAAGGAGGCTCACTGGGGGAAACGCATACTTGCGTGGGCCCCACGGCCAGCTGTGCGCCAGTGCATCTGTGCCGAGCGAACCGTCGGTCAGGGAATAAAACCGGGCGCAGTGGGATGAGTCCCGAGAGGCGAACAGATCTATCTGTGCCTCCCCGAACTGGTCCCAAATCAGCTGGACCGACTGGGGATGGAGTCGCCATTCGCCGGAGATGGGACAGACCCATGACAGCTCGTCGGCTGCCAGGTTCCGGTCTCCAGGAATGTATACTGCACGAAGGGACCTCAGGTGCTTCTGACTCCATATCAAGAGGTGGCGGGCGAGCTGCGACAACCGGCGCGAGCGTAGACCCCCCTGGTGGTTGATGTACGCTACTGCCGTAGTGTTGTCTGAACGGACAAGCACATGCTGGCCTGAGAGCAACGCTCTGAAGCGGTGCAGGGCGAGCCGTACTGCCAGCAGCTCGAGGCAATTGATGTGCATGAGGCGCTGGGGTCCTGTCCAGGAACCGGCGGCTGCATGCCCA